GGGGGGGGGGGGGGAACGGGCAGCATCGCCACTTGCGGGCGATTCGGATTCAGATTCAAAAGCCGAATTCATCCAATTTGGGCCACTTCATGCTTCACTGGTCAGGGTTCCACAGCACGCAGTACCTTAGCTCAGCTAATGAGGCTCTTGTGCCAGGGTTATGAGATGTCAGAAGACCTCCAACTTGGCACCCTTTTTTTAAAGCCATTCTCTGATGCGCCAGGACGCTGCAAGCATTCGAGGGTGCCGTAGACCGGGACGTTGTAGCCATCCACGGTTGGCGGATTGTTATCCAAGGTTGGACAAACAGACCTCTCTTCTTCACTTTTTAAGGAGAGAAGGAGAGAAGAAGGAGAGAAAGACCAACAAAAACAAAGAGAGGCACAGGGGTGGCGCGGTGAGCTGCAAATTCTGCTCTCTCAAGAGACCTGCGAACTCTCCCAACACTCTTGAAAACGCAGCCCTAGCAGGGAGTCCTATGTTAGGAATTGGAATGCAGAGCATGCCGACTTTTGCCAGGTGGCGAGGTGGCGTTGATGGGAAAGCATGCCGTCACGTTCCTCCGGTCGAGAGAGAGAGAGGGAGACTCACGTTTGGGGGGGGCCGTGATGGGGGTGCTGAGCGCGGCCACTGATAAACCACTGACGGGTGTAGATGGCTGCTGAGCGAGGACACCGGGCTGAGAGCGCTCTTCGGGGACAAGTCGTGCTGGCGATCGGAAGGCATATGCGTAGCACGTAGTGATCATTCAACTCGTGCTCTCACTGACTGAGAAAAGGGGCCGCTCATAAATAAGTAGGATATAGATATATAGATATAGATATAGATATATATATATATGTATATATATATATATACATACATGTGTGTATATACACATAAGCGAGAGAACCGATGGATGGAGTTCTCACCCTTCTATAGTCTATATTACTATATTAAGCATTGTCCTTTATGGCTGTGTCAAGATGTGTTGGGAAACCACACGTCTCTCAGCTTTTCTTGAGAAGCGAATCGCGCAACTCGACGCGGGTGCAATCTCCTGGAGTTCGTACTCTCAGCCTTTTCTCGAGCGACGTGTTGCCAGTTGTCTTGTGGCTTGCCGCAAAGAATAGAATACTTACTTACAAAAAGCTGTAGGAGTCCTCTCCGTGCCGTTGCCAGCTCCCCCCGTGGGATTGTTGAAGATCCCGGCAGACAGGAGCCAGTCCGTCACCTCTCAAAGGCCCGTGAATTGAAACGCAGCGAAAAATGTAGAGAGGACAGGAGAAAGGAGAAAGGGACGCCCGCAGAACACGGAGAGCAAAACTCGGGGAGAGCCGGTCTCAGCATCTGGAGAACTCAAGAGTGTTCTGAACCACCCCCGATTCTCTCGATTCTCTCCGCAGTTCTCTACCCTTCTCTACCCCCTTCCTCCCCTTCCCCACATCTCCCCCACATCTCCCCCACGTCTCACATCTCCCCGTGTTCTCTCTTCTCTCTCTCTCGTGTCTTTTGGGGGAGCCCTCGGAGCCCTCGCATTCAAGAGGACCTCCCCACAACTAGGTCTCTCAGATATGAGAGATATGAGAGAAGAAACAAACTAAAGGAAAGAGACAGCGAGACAGCGAGAGAGAGAGAAAGATGAGAAAAAACAAAGGAAGCAACGAGAGAGCAGGGCCTAAATGCCCCTGGCCTGGGTGACGGGCGTCGGCGCGGTGAAGATGTCAAACTCAGGACCTGAGTGCTCAAAGAGTGCTGAAAGAGTGCTCAAATGCATAATTGCGCCGCCATGCCCATGTCCCCCCTTTCTCTGGGGTCCTGGGGAGGTCTTGAGGTTTTGAGAGTCACCAATTGAGAACCCCAAATCGCCCCAAGTGGCAGTGATCAGTATAGGCCAGATTGAAGGGGTACTTTCCGATGTTGGCCCAGTTGGCGAAACCGATGCGGTCGTTCATCGCCCGCAAGCCTCCCAGGCGACTCTCGCTTTGCGCAGAGCAAGGCACTCGCGGCCTGGCATCCAAGATCACCCGAGACTAAAAGACACCTGACAGGTGAAGGCCGTTGGCTTTTGAACAATGTTGAACAACTCTGAGAACAGTGTGGAACACATCCCTCCAAAATCCGGGAAGCGGTTCCGTTCCGGGTTCCGTTTTCCGCGTTTCCGCCTGCGATCACCGGCAAGTTCCATTCCAAGAGCAGCAGGGGCACGGGAAGCGAGAATGGCCCCACGAGCCACTCAGCTTTCCGGATCCGGTCGAAGTCCTCCCGAGACCAAAAAAGGAGGCACAGAGGCTCCCCCAAGAATCGAAAGCCCTGAACGCGCCGCCCTCTGAACTCCTTAGAGCACATGAAAGAAACTAGTCGCTCAGCCCTGAACTTCTGCCCTCAGAGTCCTTTGAAAGCTTGTTTATCTTGTTGAGAAAGCGAAGAAGCTTTGCTCTCTTTGTCTTTGACTCTTTGACTCTTTGACTCTTTGACTCTTTGACTCTAATTGACTCTAATTGACTCTAATTGATTCTAATTGACTCTTTGAGTTTGCCTGGGCGGGGGATATTTCTCTCTCCTCGGTCTCGAAGCCGATCTCGGCCCACAGCGCCTCCGACAAGTTCCACGGGATGGGGGCCTCTGCAGAGACAGACGCAGAAAAAGAGAGAGAGAGAGAGAGAGAGCGAAAAAAACGAAAACTAAAACAAATCAGAGCCTCTACCACTTTTTCCCTCTTTTCAGCCCCCTCAACTCCCTCCCTTGCTCTTCTTCTGGCGCCTGCGTGAGGCGCAGGGGCGGTCGACCTGGGCGGTTCTCGGTGTCCCCTCCCCCCTGCCCCTTCAAGGAGACTCCCAAATCTCATCGACTCCCCTCTTCGAGTCCTCCAATGGGCTAATACCTAGTGACCTAGTGACCTAGTGACCTAGTGACCTAGTGACCGAGTCCAGTCCCCCGATCTCTTTCCCCAGTCCGAAGTCCATCGTAGTGCGCTGAGAAGAGAGGATGACAGTCGCGGCTTGCGGAAAAAAGAGCCCCGTTTTTTGAGAAGGACCCCCTGGTCGACATTGATACCTTGACATACCGCATGCTACAAAATGAGAGGGTTCCCAGGGCGTTAGTGTCCTCAACCTAAGCCCCAAGGCATGGGTGGAAGGAGCGCAAGCTGATGAGCACAGGTACATCGGAGTGCACCCGGCGCGAGCTGGGCAGCCGCATCGTCGACGCACCTTCCCGTGGCAGTCTCCCAGTTGCTCGCACGCTTTCTCTGCGAAAGAGGATGCGGCACCCGCAAGCATTACTGATTTGCCGGTTGTTGCATACAATGCTATATGTATGTATGTATGTATGCATATATATATATATATATTGCTCTGCTGTTTTCTGTGTTCGAAGAGAAGCGAAGAAAGTGCAATGCGGGCTGGCGCCCGCAAATCGCATCGAGCTGCAGTTTTGCGGAAAAGAGAAGCCTTTTTGGGGGGGCAACTATCGTCTCTTTCTCTCGTGCCTTTCGATGCTCAAAAAGCATGTGAAGAGCATAAAAAAGTGCTGTGACGGTCAGGGAAGGATATGAGTTTTTGGGGGCTGCGCTTTTGCTTCACAATTGTAGTCGGGAGGAGGCACGTGGAAGGCGCCTCCTCGTAACTGCAGTCGCTTTTTGAAGCTTGGCTTGGTGCTGAGGCCCTCAGAAAAATCCTGACAGTCACGAGGGTGAGGCACGTGGGGTGCCTCATCCGCGAAACAGTCAGCACTTTTGAAGCTTAGATGAGTGCCGCCGCCGCAACTATTTGAAGAGTCCTGCCGCAAGGACCCGCCGGCCGACGAGCTTCTTGAAACTTGCTTTTACTACTTGTTCCTTCGGCCGCGCTGAACAACAACCTTTCTATGACCTTCCTCCTCCCGGCGCCGCGAACAGCCACAGGAACTATACTAAACTACACGCTCCTTGATGCAGCTGTTCGGGGCCGGAAAGGAGAGAGCGAGATATGAGAGAGAAGAGAGACAGAGAGAGAGAGAGAGAGAGAGAGAGAAGAGACAGAGACAGAGCGAGACAGCGATAAGACCGAGAGAGAGAACGAGAGATACCAGAAACAGAGAGAGAGAGAGAGAGAGAGAGATAGCGAGAGACAAAGAGAGATAGATAAAACACTTGCCTTCGGATCTCGTGTCGTGCGCCGCGTCCTCTTTGTTCACCGTTTACGTGACACGTGTCTCCATTCGGGTTCATCGCCCCGATCAAGCTTTTAATGTATTCTAATGCCTCGGGCGTTAGGCTACTTTTAAAGGCTTTTAGGGTTCAGACTTCAGGGTTTCAAGGGGGAGGGGTTTGTGGCCTTTGAATATTCCACGCCAAGCATTGGGATGCAGGTTATTAGACCGCGACCTCGAAAAAACATAACCCGGAGTGCCCTATGGGGTTCATGGAGTTTGCACAGCTTATGAATGGGGCGTGCTCCAGGTCCGAAAAAGCCCACAGGCCAAGAGGGAAACAATGAGCCAACACAACTTACCCGAAGCCGAAGCCTCTGGCAAGGCCTAGCAGCAAAACAAAAACCTTGTGTGTAAACTGCGCTCAAGCTCACGCTGGATGGCCCTTCGGGCCTGGGACCAAGGTAGAGGTTGAAGATGACCTGAAAGAGGACGATTCCCATGTCATTCTCCATCTCCACAACTCGCTCGCTCATGCCCCCCCCCTCCCTTTCCCCCCCCCCCCCCACTAAGGGCCCCCCCTTACATGGCTGGCGCCGAGGGGCGTGCGTCACGCTCTCCGGCTCCAAGCCATCATCGATCCAGCGGCCTTTGTACGTGTTAAACCTGTTAAACTCTGAAATGTCCCCAGGCTCCAAGTGCCCCCAAAGAAGAAAAAGGAAGGGCCCCTGGGCCCCTCTGATTCCGAAAATGAGGCTACAGTACGGGACAGCTGGACGCACTTTGGGTTGCCCCGAGAAGGTAGCTCTGAGAAAAGGTGCCATCGAGCTCTCTCTCTCTCAGTGAAGTGCCCTCTTGTATTCTGATGATCCCTTTTGTTTGGGGGGGAACCCTCAAGAAAAACAAGGGGCTTCTGACTCTCAAATCTCAAAGCAGGGCCAGGTGGCACCAGCACTCGGCAAAGGGTGGGATCACAGGCACCGCAGCAGCATTGAGGAAAGGGCCCGAAGCACCCATGTGTGTCCTTGGCTCTTGGCTTGCGCCTTTCAGCGTCACGGGCTCGGAAATGCACACCAGAAGTGAGAACTGCCGTCCTAGTTGCAACGCTCACGCGCAGCGTGATCAATTGTGCGCTTGTTGCTTGTGGTGCCAAGCAGAGAGCATCCACCTCTTCCTATGATCTGCCCTGCCAACACATGGGCCAGGGAAACCCGCGCTAGCTTGGAGTGCCCTGAAAATAAAGGATCCTGTACATGCCATTTGCCGCAGAGGCTCCACAGTGAGACCTTTTTGGGGGTTGGAATGTTCCTGTCGATCTGCCGCACACCTGCAAAAAAGCGCGGCAATGCGGATGGCAGATGCAACGGTAAACGCCGGAATCGTCACATGGCAACACAAGCACAACACACACTCTGGAAAATGGAGAGAACAGTAGCTTTATGTAACCTGGAAGAAGTGGCATGTTGCCTTCAATGGACATTTGACATTAGCACTGTTCAGCACTGTTAAGCATCGCGCGTGAGGTGTCAATGACGAAGAGGTCCCAGTCCTCACGCACTTCCTGTCGAAGAGCCTCCACAAGAAATGACGGTGCTGCGCCCTGCGCAAAAAACACCCTTCTTAGCTTTAGGGCTCCAGCAAACCGATTGTCCAAAGTCCAAAACGACCTCCCACACAAAGACCCGCTATGAAGCCCAGAGGCTTAAGAAAAGGGAAAGAATACATTGGACTCATTGGACGTATCAGGATCTCTAGAGCATCCTCGATGCCAAGAGAGTTCTGGGGGTTTGAGGGGATGGACGAGGCCACTGCCACATGATAAGCCAGATGTGCTTTCTCAATTTGGGTAGGAAGCTCCTGGCCTCTACTTCTCCAAAAAACGGGGGGGGGGGGAGCATCCCAGAGTGCGAAGGGGCCACTGAGAGGCAACTTTTTGCACAAGCTTATATGAGAAAAAAGAGAGAAGAGAACCCTTAAGAGAACCTATGCGGTTCTTTTTTTGACACCTGGCAACTTCATCTCTCGCGGCTCTTGGAGCATCCTGCCTCCTCCTGCAAGGGGTCCAAAGGGAGGTTCTTTTGCTCGAAGGGGTCCAGGTGCAAATCAAAGTAGCAGTAAGGCTGACCTGCACGATGAAAAGGACAGATTGTACTCACATGTCTCAGTGCCCTTTTAAAGCCACAACATTCTTGTAGGGAAGCCTTTCGGGATTCGACTCTGATTCGACGGGAGGCCCAAAGAAATAGAAAGCTTCGTCTCTGAGACTTGTTGTCGGATCTGGTGGAAAGCTTCAAAGCTTCGACAAGCGGCTGCAGGGGCGCACGTACTTGTAGGCGAAGTCGGGGATAAACTGGGAGTTGTTCGGGAAGTTGGGCGTCCAGTTGCCATCGGAGATGAGGGTACTGTTCTCCTGAGCTTTTCAATCTTTTCTGACGGAGAGCGAAGCCGCTGTCAAACTCCTGCACAAGCTGAGATGTAAGACCTCTGGTGTTCGCCCCCGGCCGTGAGGCGTCTGGGAAACAGTCTCTCCATTTTTTTTCTCGACGTCCTTCCCCGAAGTCCTTCCGAAGTCCTTCTGCTCATCCCTAATTAGGGCCTCGAAAGCCCAGACTTTTGCATCGATGTTCTTCTCAGCTCTCGTCTTCTCATTTCTTGGGATCTTGCTGCCTGCTTTCAAGGGCACCTTGGGACGGCCTCGGTGTCTTCAACTCGAACGGCCCCTTCATTTGCCCCAGCGAAGCCCCAACTTGGGGGGGACGGTTGCCGAGGCGGCGCGAGCGTTTAGGCGGGGCACCCGAAATCTAGACCCGCCAACGAGAACCCTATAGTGAACAAAAACCATAGAATAAACACTCGACCCTGAACAAACATCTCGGGGTTTCGGTGAACCAGATCTTCTTGAGGTCCACGATGTTTGCGCCAACGCCTGAGAGGTGGGGAAGCTCCCAGTTTTGCCTCTTGAAATAGAAGGTTTCGGGTTTTTTAGGGGGTTAGAGTTTATGGCCGTTTATGGCCCTGGCAGGCTCCGGAAAGGTCCAGAAACGCCCAGTCACGCAACTCCATGACTTCCGAGTAGGTGATCTTGCGCGGGACCTGCAGTTCTTCGTGGGCGCCGTGCATTTCTCCAACAAGGCTCCAAAATCGGGAAACTGCATGGAAGCTATGCACGATCACGCTCGACGAGGCTAGAGGCTAGGAGCATTTGGGAACATGTGTTTCTTCTGATGCCATGTCCATGTCTCGACTCGAAGCTTCTCGTGCTTGTAAAGCAATTGGCTTCTCGCCCTGTGACCCGGTGACCCGCTACAGGAGAGCCCCTTTCCAGGCCTTCATTCTAGTCTGAGATCCCCCAACATTGAAAAGGCTGACGACGTGTGTACGCGCGCGCCTGAGTCTTCTCGAAGATGGCCCTCCACATGGGTACGCCCGTAAGCGGTCCTCGGCGTGTGGGGTTGGCGGCGGGCTTTGTCGCACGCGCGCTGTTGAGGGCACATGGCGAGATCACATCCCAAGGCTGCCAAGGCTCCAGGCTCATTCCGCATTCCGCCGTCCGGATATGGCCTCTGCAGAGCTCATAAAGTGAAAAACTGAAGAGAGAGGCCCCTTTATGAAGAGTTGAAGGCAGAGGCGTGAGAGTTGAGGCTGTGCGCAGAGGTCTCAAAAAACTGCCCGTGCCGTCTCGTGCTGCCTTCCCGTGATCATCTCCAGTAAGGTCTCCTGAGCTGGGCTTCGAGGGTCGGAGGAAGAATGCGAGGGGGGGGGGGGACGGGGGAATTATGTTTTCGGGAGCCTCGGTATCAAAAGGAGACAGGGGGCACCTTGGAGGCGCCTTGAGCCAACGCCTTGAGCCAACGCCTTCTGCACGCCTTCTGCATTCTCAGAGCATTCTGCGCGCCAGGTCTCGGACAGGTCGTTGATGGACATGACGGTGTTGCTTGTGAAGGGCTGCACGTGGTACTGGCGAGCAGTTCTCGGCAGTTCTCGAGGGTGGCCCCCACACTCTCCAAAACTCTCCAAAAAATCTCCCTCGAGGGAGTTCTGCACCTTCTCAACGCCGCCTTGAATGTGTGAACCCGGAACTTAAGGCCCTCTGAATCATGGAAGAAGACCCAGACCCGCAAGACTCCACAATGTTGGGGAGCGCTTTACTCTTCAAAAGCCCCCTTTGAGAGTCTTCTCAGCTTTCTTTCGTCTTCTTCCCTTGCGCCTTCTGCAGGGTCTCCGTGACCCAGCCCCCTGAGAAGAGGGCGTTCACGCGCTGGCCGCCCTCGCTCGCGAAAGAGAGAGGGCTAAAGAGAGCGGGCTAACTAAAGAGAGCGGGCTAAAGAGAGAGGGCTAAAGAGAGAGCTAGAGAGAGAGAGAGAGAGAGAGAGAGAGAGAAAGAACTGAGAGTACAAAGGAGAAGGGGGGAGGGAGGAGGGGGCAGCTGAGAGTAAAAGAGGAGAGAAGGGAAAGCGGGGAAACCGGAAAGGGCTGGAGTGGAGAAAGTGGAGGGCACCTCGAAGTTGTTGAACTTCCCGCCCCGCAAGGGGTAGTTGTTGTTGGCGGTGCCTCTCTCGAGAGACATGCGGAGACATGCGGACAGAGGGTCAGACGTGTGTGTTCTCTTATGCTGGCACTATCGGGACACTCCCTCAGCTTTTAAGAAGAGGGGAGGGCTCTCAGCTCTCAACTTCATGTAGCACGGCTTCTGCTGGGAGCCGTAAAAAAAACAAACAGCTCTCTCTGAAGACTTGTTCTGTGCAGAACATTCTCAAGATTCAATTGAACCTCTTCAGCCTGCGTAGATGGCGCCGCCGTTGTCGGAGGTGAGGAAGACGATGGTGTTCTGGTACTGCTTGAGCTCCGTCAACGCCCAGGTGAGGTCCCCGATCACCCAGTCCACGTATTCTTAATGCATGCAGGCAAACTCTTTGCTTGGCATGGAACAGAGAGAGAGAGAGAGAGAGAGAGAGAGAGACACTTCGAGACATGATGTTCAAGAACTCTGAAAATCCCAATGTCTACGCACCCCCTTAAACAACTCTCTCGGTGTTTTTTCCTTGCAAATCGATTGAGCTGGGCATCCCAGAGCGCCGTAGGTCGCAGAGCGCAGGTCCTCGTTGGTCGGGTGCGTGAGGTTCTGCCTTGCAACTGAAAGAAGCCATCAGACGGAGGATTTGCAAAACACAGGAGATATGTGCCAGCCTGAAGATGTGTATAACTCTTAGAGAGGGGGCTCAAAGACAATTCGAGACATGAATAGGATATATAGGATATATTCCCCTTCTGAGAGTCGTCTCCTTCCTCTCCTTCCTCTCACTTTCTTCTCTTCCACTCACATCGGCTCCCTTTTGCTCTCTGCACAGATTTTCTCAATGCTTGTCTACCCTGAGCCCCTGAAAGACTCTGTAAGACACCTGAAAGTCAGAAAAACCCAGACTCCTGAGACCGATTTCCTCCGAGCTCTCAAGATTTCTCAAATCCTCTTCTTCTTCTTCCAGAGCCCAAACCCAAGCGGCACAGTCGTCCGTGCGAAGCGCCGGGGATATTGGATGGGCCTCGGCAGCTCGCGGAAGGGGACTTTTTTCCTCCCGGAGAAAAAACGAAGGAAAATTCTTAAAGCACACCTCTCTCCAGAACCTCACTAGAGTTCATTTATATCTTGCTGACTCAAAAAAATGCCCATACAACCTGTCCTTCAAGGTCTCTATTTATAAGCGTTACTTATGGTTCTGTGGGGAGAGAGACCGTCGAGGCCGGGATCTTGTGGGTTTTTGTTCTGCCTTCTCATTATGCCTGCAACAGATGTTTGGCGCGTTAAACTGCGAAGCTGATGAGGCTATAAGACCACTGGAAACATCTGGACACGTGCGAAAAAACGCTAGCCAATACTAGCCAAACTTCACAAAGTAACCTGCAAAGAAAAACTGCAAAACAGCAAAGGTGGCAGGTGCATGAGCTGCAAAGCGTGGACCAAGAAGAGCGGCGCCTCTCACAGGGCCCCCCAACCCCCTACTAGTACATGATTGTAGAGACCGCGTTGATGGCTTAAAAAGATTTAGCCTTCTATCTAGAACAAGCAGACCAGGATTTGGTCTCCTTCGCAACCCTTGGAGGAACCCCCCCCCCCCCCCACAACGGGAACACACGACCTGACATTGAAGAAGCTGTTTACTGCATTGGGCAGCGCAGAGCTTGTCTTGGTCATGATAGCAGGCGATGCAGCTGACGCTTCATGTGCTGGCGGTCATGCATTGGACCCGAATTGCTCCCACACCCGAGCGGATGAGTGGATGACTTGTTCACCAACAAGCCCATCTCGTCCTTAGCGAAGACATCAAACCCTCTAAGGACACTAAGGCGGGTCTTAAAATAAAAAGCCTAGCTCGCCACTCCTTCGGAGGGATGTATGCTGGCGGTTGTTCGACAAGCTTTTGGAGAAAAACCTGCGCAACCAAAAAAGGGTGCAAAAGATCCTCGGAGGGACCCTTCAGCTTTCTGGATAGTGAGCGCCCCCTACCGCCCCTCCCCTCAGTTGTTGAGTTCCCGGTTCCCACTGTGTCCAAGTGATGCTTGTTGCAGGGGCAGCGGCTACAGCGGATCCTCGAAGTATGCAACAAACGCGGTGGCCGGCTTCTGCCGCAAAGCCTCAATGCCAGCGCAATCTGTGCTGCCTGCTGGATGCCTTTTGTTAAAGCCCCCCTTCCAACTTGCAACTTTGCAACACTTTGCGCATCTTTTCTTGTTCTTGTTTGACAATTGTGACATCTTTGCGCATCTTTTCTTGTTCTTGTCGAACGGCCTTCTGTTCTTGGCGAATGGCCTTCGGCTCCCGCAGAACATCCGAAATGCCCAAGAAGTCCCGCACAGAGAGGTGCCAGTCATCTGCAAAGCTGGACCTAGAAACGCTGACCTTCCGGCTGTAGCCTCTTGCCGGCACGCCAGCGAACAGTGTTTCCGGCCATCTGGGATAGAACGCAAGCAACGTCCAGACAAGCACCCACCAACGGCCCGTGGTCTGCGCAATCGCCATGCTCAGCGTGAAGAGGATCTAGCCGAGATCCAGGCCTAGAGGCCTAGAGGCCTAGAGGCCTAGAGGCCCAGAGGCCCAGAGGCCCAGAGGCCTAGAGGCCTCGCGGCCTAGAGGCGGCCTAGAGGCGGCCTAGAGGCCTAGAGGCCTAGCGAGTCTCGCTGGTTTTGGTGAATCATTTTGTCGAACCATCGATGCGATCTCGGGTTCGAGTTTGGGGTAGAGGTCTCTTTGTGCAACGTGTTCTGCCTGAGCACATGTGACTGCTAAGGCTGCCAAGGAAAGCACTCCAAATCCAACAAACCCGGACAAACCAAACTCCGAACTTCTAAACCGGATGGTCAACTACCACAGCTGATCTCCAGGGGGCCCTTCGCTGCTCAACGATTGTGGAACTGGGCGAATGCGCGTTCTCTTGAGCCCCAATCCCGCTTCGCCCCCGGCATCAGCGCCTTTCGGGCGGCAGGTTGTTGCCCCTTTCGGGCTGTTTTGGTTCTCTCTGAACGGCAGGTCGCTCCGGCGCCTCGTCTCATGCCGTATCCCATGCTCCTCCCCCTTGGGTGTAAGCGGAAGGGTTTTTGGAGAAAAGCTACAAAATTCAGCTGAAGCTGCGATCTACTCTTTGTGCTCTTCCCAGGCTGCGCTGGCAGCAGTGCTGTGCTCAGCTGTGTGTGGAGCCGGAGCCAAACTCAAGAAGTTGCCACAGCTGGAGGCTGGAGAGTTTCTCCATCTTTTGCCCTCCATGTCGTTAATTAGGCCATGTTAGGCAGCAGGCCGCGTCCTGCAGCCCAGCGAAAGCGACTGACGCGAGGCGTTGATGCGAAAAACAGGAGAGCCTCCTCATAGTTATGCTCCAGAATGATCTGCCGTGATCGCCGCCGAATCTTCTCGTCAGCCACGTCATCGAGCTCCTGTGCCAACAAGTACAACTTCAATTGATTTGACACCTCTCCGAGGACCTTCACATCAAAACCGCCTCAAAAGCCATCCCAAAGCCAACTGTTCGAGCCCTTAAAGGCTTAAGGGGCCACAGAGTCTTAGAAACTCCCCGGAGTCTCCTGCTTGAAGCTCTTGCAGCCCACAAAAAACTCTTCCTCGCTGAGCTTGCCAAGGAGGTAGTCTGCGCCTGGGTCTCTTAGGGTTTAGCTCACGCATTGCTCACTTTTTGCTCGCATTGCGTCTTCAGTTTTAGGGCTTAATGGGCGGCAGTGTTGAGTGTTCGGTGAATGAAATTTGGGTCGTTCTGTCAGGTCCCCCTCAGTAGGTAAAGGCAAGATGACGCCCGCACCTACAGAGACACAGAGACGAGGCGCTAGACTGTGAAAAGGGTTGGCCCGAGCAATGAGATTTGTTGGCCCGAAGCTACAACCTCGGCTTGTTGTATAGAAAACCAGCATCCCTGCCCAGTGTCGTAGGAGCTCGCACCAGGAAGAGTTGAAGTTCTCGGTGCTGTCCTGCGTTGGGAAAGGCTTGGTCCATTGCGAACCTTGCAACTTCCGCAGCAGCGAGGTCGTGCACAGTGCTCCGACAGCACTCTGTTGCAGAGCCATTTTGCAATTTTGCATGAAAAAAGACTGAGAACCTACTCTGACTACTCTAAAAGTCTTCAGGCAAACCCAAAACCGCCTTGGCTGTGAGTTGCAGCGGCCGCTTTTTCTTGGCAACCCTGGGCCCTCACAGGGCCCCTGGGCCTGCCGCCAAAAGCCAGGCAGGGCATTCATCAAGGGCCCAGCTCCTGGCAGTGCCAGGGGTTTGGAGGAATGAGAAGGGGCCACAAGCTTTTTTGTTGCTCTAAGAACAAAAACCCTCTGTAAACCCCTTTTCCTTCGTCCTACTCAAGAAGAAACAACACCCTTCTCAAAAACACACACAGGAGCGTCCTCTATTCGGGCTCTTTATTGGTTGCCGAACTGAGAGGTCATATTCGTCATATTTCTCCTCCAACAGCAAAGCCAGGCTCGGTGCCATCGCAGCTCTCCATGCTGTCTCCGAACCAGCCCATGAACGTCCTGAGAGCCACCAAAAATGTAAAAAAAGAGCCGAGAGAGAGAAAGAATTCCAGAACCAACCCTTCAGAACTCCTCTCTCGCTCTCTCGCTCCCTCCAAAATGTGGAGAGGCCTCTCAAAAGCGAGGAGGCAAACAGCAAGTCTAAATGAAAAAAGGTGCTCTCTTCAGGTGAACGGCTCGTAGCCCATCCCCATGGGCGTGTTCAGGAAGGCGCCACCACCGATGCCCCATTTGCCATTCAGGTGGGTTCGGTAGCCCATCTCCTTGGGGGGGGGGGATCTGTCGAGTCAAATCTTGGATGATAGCGGTTGGTATGGGATGACTTGGGGGGGGAGGGGGAGGGCTGCGCTTGCAAAAAAAGGAGGACAGCAACTGCGTTTGGTTTTGAAAGCTCCCGCTGCGAACCCGTCAGTGTCCTTCAGGCGCTTGCCGATGGTCAGCGTGTTGGGCTGCACCCCTATAGGAGCAGGAGAAACAACTTGAGAAACCAAACCCCAACTGCCCCAGCTTCCTGAATTCACCTTTCTCAGAGTGCTTTCGGGGGAGGAAAATCCCGATGTTTCACAGGGTGTCCCTGTGGAATCCTAAAAAGAAGAAAGGGGGGCACCATCTTCTTCTGTACGGGCCTGATTAGGGAATTGGTGAGAAAGCTCCTGCAACAGTATCAAAGAAAGCCTCGCAAGTTGCAAAGTTGTGCGGGGTACTCTGCCCTGAAAAAATCTAACCCGCCGCCATTTTGAGATCCTGCCAGCGGCCTCCGATGATCGGTGTCGTCTTCGTCTGGCCCGCCTGAGCGAGAAGAGGGGTGAGAGCATGGGGTTAGGCCTGCTTCCGGGATCCCGTTTTACTTTGCGGTCTACTGCAAGTTGGTTGTTCTGGAGCTTCCTTCTTAAACCTCTCTCACAGGATTTTGGGAGTCGATGCTTTGATCCTTCATTCATTTGCGGGTTTATTGCTAGCGCGTCTAGGTTACCGGGTGCCCTCAATTCGCTGTCTCTCAGCTGCTCCTTGTCAACGTAGCTGGCACTCGGATCCCAGTTCCAGACCTCGGCACTCAGCAGACGATTCTGACCTGCCCACTGTGCGCCTGCAGATGCAACTGATTGCAACTGAAGCAATCGCCTGAGCTCTCTCGAAAAAGGCAAGATCCTGTTATGACCACGCCCTGAACCCTCTCTTCTCCGCCTCTCGCCCCACAAGCAGGAGCCCTAAGTGCCCCCCGCACGCAGACAAAACTATAGAAAACGCTACGAGTACCATTGGAGGGAGTCCGAGATACTGAACTACTCCTCTTCTCCTCATCAGCCCCCAGCAATCACTGCAATCACCAATAAGGCTTCAGTTCGCCCTCTGGGATGCCCTTGGGCAGCCGGCGTTGTTGGCAATGTAGGGGTTCAAGACGTCCAGCCGACCTTCATTGGAACGGGCTCTTTTGTTTTCAAAAAATCTGGCCTAACCTACACCGCAGCGCTCACAAAACGGACTCTCTTTTTGCGTGTGCAAGGGCTCGAATAGAGCCGTCGCTTGAGGCCATCACGTTGCCGTGAGCTTTGCTTGGGTACAGCTTTTATGTGACCCAGACCCAAGCATGCTCAAATGATACTCTCGCAATCTTCGCAACAGCTAGGCTCGCATTTGCAGATGCCTTCCGAGCAAGTCTTCGTGCATAAGCGCAACTAGATCATACCTTGAGTCGGCCCATACCGAACTGATGTTTGTTCCTGTGCCGTGCTGAACCAAACGTCACGCTAACTTGGCTTTCAAGAATAGTATGCAACGTTGTGCCCAGCGCAAGAGCGACAGCCACATCTCGTAAGTGAGTGTGCTTAATTCCCTTGCAAGGCGTCACGTGCGGCACGTGCAGCTTGCACAGCACGACTGGTAAAGTAGGTGAAGTCACGCGGATCAAACGCAGAAGGGCCATTCACTCTCAAAAAGCTGTTCAATCCCTGGGGTCAGCCCAGCGCATGTCGCAACGTCTCGCGCCTGTTTGCAGAGCGCCGCGGCTTGGAGCACACCAGGGAGTCCTCGGCGCTAGGGGTTTATAGGGTCTTCTCTTCTAAGAGCAGTGAAAAGCAATACGAAGTCAACGTTTCACCAAAAAGACAAGCGCACCTCTTCTCCCAAGTCTCGCGTAGAACCGGTCCATGATGATCCCTTCAGATGCCATCCTTGGGCCCCCCAAGAAGAAGAGAACACAAGAGCATAAATAGATATAGATATATATATATATATCTATATGTATGTATACATACATATACATGCATACATATGCAGACATGTATATATATATGTATATATGTATATATGCACACATTTAGATGTGGTGCTCTGAGCCTGGGATCTCTTGACAGCACCCAACTCTTGACGACGGAATTGTTTCGGAGACAAGGGGCCAGTCGATGTTGGGCGTGACCACATCCAAGTTGGCCGGGCGGGCGCGGAACCCGACCTGGCTGGGAGAAGGTGTAATCTTTTTTGTACTTGTAGCCCCGAAATGTCCCCCCCATGGTACCTGCCTGGTTCCAGCCCATGTCGTCGATGATGATGACTAAGATGTTGGGCTTCTTATATCCTTGCCCCGTAAGGACAGAAGCCCCGAAGTATCCAGATTTGGGACGAAGGAACGACTGTTTGACACAGGATCCTCCACCTACCCTGATGGGAGGGTGTTCGTAAAGGCTTAAGGCTTTTGGGGCTTTAGGGCTGTTGTAGGTTCTTTGGGTACGAGAGCCGGCCCGAAAGCAGCCCAACCAAACCCCCCCCCCCCCCCCCCCACCCCCCCTCCCTTCCCGGAAACAAAAAGATTGAACACACACGCGCGCGCGCGCACACACACACACACACACACACACACACAGAGCCACACGAGACAACTGAAGCAGCAAGAAGTAAAGACATGGAGGTTCCGAAATTTATGGGTGCCTATTTCGGTTCCACATGAAAGGGGAATCCTACTATCTGGAGAATACATTAGGCGTCCCTTATTTTCGTAGTATGTCTCCTCTGAGGAGTTCACCGCATGGAGGTGACCTGGTCTTAAACCGTGGCCGCGAAGGGTCCTCCACCACCATGGCCATACCTGAGTGCGTTAAGAAGTGGGGGGGGGGGGGGGGGGGCGCTTTTTCGGAGAAGTTCCTTCGCGTGGAATTCCCACCCCCCCCCCCCCCCCCCCAAATAACAAAAAAGAGAAACCTGAGGCATCCCAAGTCGAGAGCATTGGAGCATGGCCCTGCTAAGGGGACTCGTTGCAGAACTCCGCGACCCCTGGCTTCGCTGATGCTCGGGGTCATCCCAAGCCAATAGAGCCAAGCTGCGAGTTGTAGCGCCCCCACCCGTCCTTCTTTGCAGCTTGCGCATCGAAAAGGATTGCGCCAGATGAGCTCTTGACGCTAGAGATCTTGTAATTGGGGGAAGGGAAAATGCCTTTTTTTGAAGCTATATCTAGAGTGAGTTTTTGGCCAAACGAATGGACAGATTTTCTGTAGGATAGCGAGACCTGGCCACAAGAGAATGCCCAAAAAGCTGTGAACCTGTTCGGAGCTTCCCGGACCCCCCCCCCCCCAGCGCCCGCCCCGAAACACCTCTCTCTCCTGATCCTGACTCTTCCTGGCTCGACCTCTCCGCCTTCCCCCTCCTTCCTCTGAGCCCTCTCTTTTCTCAGGAAACCGAATCTCTTGGGCCAGATCCTCCCTGCCTCGCAGCCCACGAGAGGCCCGAAGGACTTTCGCGTAAGCTTCACTCACCCTTATGAGCCATCTTTCACTCGAGAGAGGCTTCTTGTAGAAGTAGCAGAAGCTCTCCACACCCTCTTTGCTCTCAAAGATCTCGGAAAACAATCTCCCACCTCCCTTAGAAGGATTCCGGAAGCTCTCTCTCTCTCTCTTTAGGCTTCATGCTCCCCACCGGCCTCACCGGCATGCTAGTGAGTGGCCGGACGCTACTGAGACAAGCGGAAGCATTTTTCTCTTCACTGGTGTGGCCTTTGTCCTCTAAGACTGCAGCATCCATGAGCTTCCCCTCGTTTGCAGCGTGCCTCTTTTGGTGGTGTAGGCTTTGCAGAGAGAGCAGCTGAAGGCTGAGGCTCAGCCGAGCTTTCAGTTTTCTTGTGAAACTTTTCAAAACGGGCCTTGAGAAACCTTCGAGAGCATCAGCTCCGAGCATCAGCTGAGCCTGGCCCGACACACGAGTAGGTTCCCCTCTTTGTGTCGTTCGTTTTCCCCTGCCCTCACCTTTTCCGAGCCGCCTGTCTCCCAGAGTGAGAGCATCTTCGGGCGTCCCCCCCACATACTTCGCCAGACCCCAAATTCCAAACAACAAAAACAAAGAAGCGCAGAGAGCTCTCGAGCACCACAATTGAAAAAGGAGATGCGACGGGAGAGAGAGAGGGAGAGAGGGAGAGTACAGCTCCTTCGCCGCGGAGTCCTTCGCCGCGTGCTGCAGCAGCTCAGTGGACTCGGCCTCTTCGGCAGCCTCTGAGCGAGAGGCGCTTGAGAGCGAGAGAGAGAGAGGGAGAGAGAGTTTGACCCAATATTCGATTGAAACTCTCGTGTGTACTGTGGAACGAAATGGCAGAACACAAGGAAACTGGGAGTTTAACCAGATGAAGACTGCAAAGGTGCTACCAGAAGTACGAAGTAGGAACTGGTGCTCTCATGACGCAACTTGCGATCTCCGATGAGCCCTCAACACCTTGCTCTGCTCGAGTCTGTTGCTGTGTCACAACATGCGGCACCTTCCTTTACTGTTTACCTTCCCTCCCCCCCCCCCCCCCCAAAAAAAAACACACACACACACACACACACTTACTTTTCCACGCGCCTTGCAACCCTCGCCCTCGCAGTGAGCACCGGCTGCCCACCTCTCGATGTCAGGGATGTGTGGCTTGGCTTCGAGGTGCTTTCAGCTGACACAGACGGACACACACTCGAAATCACTCAAAGGGTTTCAAGAGGGCTTCGCTTCTGTCCAGGCGCACCAGAACCTTCAGAGGACCCTATCAGGCTTAATGCCCACAGTACTTAGTTTCGAGGGTGTTTCAAAAACACACAAAGCAGGACCAGCGAATGAGCAAATGCCGGATGCAGCCGCCTTAGGCAGGCCAGTGAAACCAAAAGACACCGCAGCACGGTTCCCGAGGTTCCCGAAGCTCCCATCCTCCTGGAGAAAGGAGAGAGCGAACAATCTGCGCGAATCGCTAGCACCTCAGCTGTAAGGTTTTAAGGCTTCGCTTCGGGGGAAGCTGTGAGATCCACTCTCCTCTGCGCCAGGTGAACGCGACGCAGACCTGGCAAGGGCTATGCATGCTCTTCGTGAGGGCTGGACTTGGGCAGTATGGACACAAGACTTGCCCAAAGCACAGCACCCCTCCTTCCCAAACACATCAAACCCCAAACCACGGAACACCTTTGTTCCAAATTCCGGCCGAAAAGGCGTCTGGAGCCGCCAAGCATCTGGTCTCGTTCCCTCCCTCCCAACCCTTCCCTGAAGTGTTTCGTGGAGCAAGAAGACATTTGGGGTGGCTTCAAGGTTTGTGAACCTGCAAGGCCCCTCCTGGTCTTGGGCTTCTCTGGCATTCTCGGGGGCTCCGAGACAGTGGCCCGAGGCTTTGGCAAGCCTTTCAGTGCACGCACATGCGCGCCTGTGCAAGTCTCCAAGGAAGTATCTGTGGGCGGTCGTCTGACAGACACTAGGGGATGGGCGACACAGAAAGGCACGGCATTCAGGGTGCCAGTGCCATCCATGGCAGCAGGAGCAGTGTATCAACAGCCAGAAGAGGCCCAAGCGGGGAAGGCGTCCAGAACAAGCCGATCAGGAGAATCCCGACTCCTCTACGATGCACAAGGCACCCCCCCTTGCCGAAGTGCGTGCAAGCGCTTGCAGAATTATCTACTGAATAGCTTCCGGCATGGGCTTCTTCTTCCACCTCAACCCTGCCCCCCCTGCAAGCCCAAAAACTCATGTCGGAGTGGCCAACAAGCCCTGGCAAAAGGCCAACAGGTGGGAGAGTATGGATGGGACCTCTTCACGTGACCTCGTCGTACACCCTACGTGAGGTCTCGTGGGTGTTCCTACGAGGCCAGCTCAAGCCAAAGCTGCGGATGTTTCTCCATCGCGTCCACACTCTCAAACTGTCCAAAGCGAGCTTTTGCTTCATTATAGGTTTTGGTGAAGTCACGGCTTTGCTCTCTGTCCTTTCTCGACATGTGTGCTCTCTTTTTTGGGTGCGGTGCTTAATTGTCACGACAATTAGGAGATGGACACAGTTGCACCCCATGCAGCCGAGAGCAGCGCTGTTTCTCCCCTGTGATGCATCACACCCATGCGGAGGCTTTGCGGGAGCTTTTGCGGCGTTGCGGCTTTGCGCAGCACGAGTCTCCGGTGTCTTTGACCATCGGACACAGAGTGGCATACGGATATAGTGAGGGCCTCACTCTAAGTTCTTGGCTAAAGCTGGTTGGCACTTCTCGGAACAGTGGGCAAGGATTGGGAAACAAACCACACACATCTCACAAGCGCAAGGGCTTCAGCGCTTCGTGCAGCGACTGGTTGAAGCCTATGAAATCGATCTCGACCTGCGTTGCGGGCTGTTGGAGGGGTCTCTTGTTGTAGGGGAGGTCCCTACAGGCTGAAGCGGGCATATAGGCTGTGCGGGTCACGCCAGACGTTCCTCTCCCTCCTCCTCTCCCTCCTCCTCCTCCTCCTCCTCTCCCTCCTCTCCCTCCTCTCCCTCCTCTCCCTCCTCTCCCTCCTCTCCCTCCTCTCCCTCCTCTCCCTCCTGTCCCTCCTCTCCCTCCTGTCCCTCCTGTCCCTCCTGTCCCTCCTGTCTTCTCCCTCCTCTCCCTCCTCTCCCTCCTCTCCCTCCTCTCCCTCCTCTCCCTCCTCTCCCTCCTCTTCCCCCTCTCCCTCCCTCCTCCCTCCCTCCTCTCCTCTCTCCTCCTCTCCTCCTCTCCCTCCTCTCCTCCTCCTCTCCCTCCTCTCCCTCCTCCCTCCCTCCTCTCCCTCCTCTCCCTCCTCTCCCTCCTCCCCCTCCCTCCTCCTCCACCCCCCCCTCTCCCTCCCCCGCCCCGCCCCTCCCCTCCCCTCCCTCCTCCCCTCCTCCCCTCCCTCCCCCTCCCCTCCCCCCCCCCCCTCCCCTCCCCCCCTCCCCCTCCCCTCCCCCTCCCCCTCCCTCCCTCCTCCCTCCCTCCCTCCCTCCCCTCTCTCTCTCTCTCTCTCTCTCTCTCTCTCGCTCTCTCTCTCTGGTGTTGCGAGAGAACACTCGCTCTCTTCCTATCGTTAGGGGACAAGGGGGTGGGCTCAGTGGTCTACAGAAAAAAGTGGGCGGAGCAGTGTTTGCGACTTTGTTTTGCCACGGTTTTTTTTGGTCAATGTTCCCCCTCCAATGTCATAAAGTGCGTATTAAAGGCTCATTAGTTTCAATAATCTGAAATTCGTACTCTGTTTCCTTGGTTTCCCCGAGGCCTCTTTTCTATTCCCTCAATATTTGAAAAGGAGTCCTATGAATTTCCATAGTCTTCCCATAAATTTTACGAAGGCTCTACTATTCGTTCTTCTTAATTTTAGTTGAATGTTCATAGGATTCTTAGTTGAACTTAGGACTAGGATTCTTCTTGCTTTTGAAAGGATTTCTCTTTACTGACACACCTCTTGCATGATGGGCTTGCAAAGGATGCATCAGGTTCTTCCTGGCAAGCTTTGCCACTAAATCATGGCGCGATGGGAGTTGGAAGTTCGAAAGGAGTAGGGGTCGGACCGGCCCATGGGGGAGCTTTGGGGCCCCGGCCAGATGCCTCAAAGGCTTGTGTTTGTGGGCCTCTTCAAGCCAGCGGACGGCTAAGGAGGGGGGGGGGGGGGGCTGCTTGCTGCACTTTGCCCCATGTTGCCCTAACCTCAAAGACTGACCGTTTTGAGGCTGCTTGTGGTGGGTCAGAGCCTGCCCCCCCTTTGCGATAAAGCCATGCGAGGCAAGCAGGGCAAGCGGGGCAAATGGGGCAAGTGGAGCAAGTGGGACAAGTGAGGCCAGTGGGGCAACATCAATTAATTCTTCTGCAGAACAAGTGGGGCAAGTGGGGCAACACCAATTAACAATTAGTGGGCCCCGTGAGCGCCTGCAATGAGACATCGCGAAAAAGATGGAAAATTGGCCCAAAAGTAGTGTCCTCCTTAAACAAGCAACCTGTTTGGGATACACAGCGCTTTTACGTCTTCTACACTTTCTCGTTCGGCATTGTGTTTTCGCAGGGTTAAGTTGGGATTGTTCGTTCGAACCTTCGGAGAAGCTAAGTTTGGGCAGCGACTTTCCTTTCCCTCAGAGTGCACGCGGGCAATTTTGATTTCTGCGGCGTGCTGCGAGTTCGACAGAAGCTGCCCTTGGCATTGGGTATACTCTTCTACTGAATTGCTTTGAGGATTCAGATGTCACGCTTCAAAGGTGTAAAGCCCCGTAGTAGCAGCCGAAGCAGAGAAAACCCATGAAGCTCGTCACTCCGGGGTCTAACCTTACGAACACCGATACGCCTCCGCCCCCTCAGTGCAGCATACGGGAATGTCCTACTCTCGTCCCTCCTAGGGCCAAGCTCGCAGTAAGCATAGGTCCATTTTGGCCGTGGGCCTCGCACAGTTGGCCCTCTTTTGACCCGATTTCAAACTGTTCAGAACTCTGGAGAGGTCGCGCCGGGTCACTCTTTCAGCCATTTGGAACCCGCAGGCTACAGGTCAGAGCTGCCCAAGCAATGAGATGCGAAACCCCTAAGCCCTAAGCTCTAAGCCCTAAGCTCCCCTTACGCCTCAGGCGGCTGAGCCTCTGGCAACTCTGATGGGGGACAAGTGTGACTCAACAGCTCAAAATGACTCCGAAACATCCTCCCCGAATTGACGCACTCCACACCCCAACTGCAGCATGAAACGGGTCAACATTGCCACGTCCCGCCCAACTATCCGGCGACCGACTCCACAACACAGCAGCCTCTGCACCTCGAACCAGGGCTCAGTTACGGGCACAAACCCTCGCCCCTCGCCCCCAACACTCCTAACGCTGCAACACGAAAGCTCGCATGAGCCGCATCTCTCAATATTCCCCACCCAAGCCCATGCAACCGTGGCAGCACGAACCGTTAGAATAAAAAAACACGTCTTTCGAGTCAGAGTTTCTGTGCGGGGAAAGGCGCTCTCCTCAGGAAAGAGAGAGTTCAACAAGGGGGAGAACTCTTATGTAACGGGTTTGGAAATGGGATTTTGCTGTAACAAGTTCAGGCTGACCTCGGGTGACGTCGCCAAAATTCAGCCAGCATTTTTCTGTACAGGCATGCAGTGAGCACTCACTTCATCGCTTTCATCGCTTTCATAGCTTTCATCGCCTTCATGGCTTTCATGGCGCTCATGGCTTTCATCGCCTTTGCTTTTGACGACTTTCTTGTGTACATTGCCTGAGCTGCTTCATACATCTCCTTTCCAACCTGGGCGATCAGCAGCTTGTGCACAGGCAAAGGCGGCAAGGATACTGCTTTGGAGTGCTCAAGACAGCGGAGCTGACGAGCGACGCGGCAAAGTGAGAGAGAGAGAGAGAGAGTTTACTGCTCACGCGAGATTGCAAGCCTGAGAACACAAACGCCGCGGCAATGTGCTTGAGGCATCCGCACACAAGAGAAAAGACAAAATTTAGACTCGTTATATTCCCTTTTATGGGTTTTTGACTCTTCTAAGAAGACTCTGCTGACTCTCCGGACCCTTTGGGCGTCCCGACCACGGAGAGCAGGAAGAGGGCGGGGTGCTCCCGGGAGCTTTTGTGCAAGAGCTTCTTGGCGCTCTCCACCGCTCTGATCCAGGGAGCGCTCTCCTTCTTGCTGAACCTCGCGGCAGGGAACAAGGCAACCCAACCCAATGCCCTCAACCCAAAACGGAGGAGGAGGAGGAGAACCCTATATACCCTGCAGTCACTCTAACTTAAAGGGTTTCAAAGATTGGGCCCTTGTTTTGAAAGGAAGGTTCGAGCAGTGGAGTGAGGGAGCACAGGAGTCGGGATTCAAGGGCAAGCTTGCCCAGGAGACTGCGCCAACGTCTCTGAGGTGGAGGCTTCCTCAGCTTCCAGCTCTTCTTTCCCGCTTTCTTGTACTGCTCCTGAGATGCCAATCTGCATCTTATGGTCTTATGGAGTGCGCAAATCATGATGCTTCAGCAACTGCGCGCCCTAAACACAGCCCAAGCCTAACAACTGGGCTTTTCTTGGGGGATTTCTGGTGCCCCTCAAGAAGCTAGCCCCCGAACTCCCACCTAGGACCTAAGAGTCCTAAGAAGCCACCCCTTCAAAAAACAGCCAGAAACAAACAAACAAACACACACACACACACAACACTTGCCTGGACCGCTTCGTAGAGATGCTTCCCCACGGCTCCCAGCCTAGCACGCAATTTTGGGCAGGCTTCCAGAGGAAGAGCGCGATCTGACCCGTCCCTAGCAAACGGAGGCTCTTGAGGCTTTCCATCTGAACATCTGAACATCTCTGAGCATCCCTGAACATCGCTGAACATCCCTGAAAGTCTCTGAGCCGAAAAGCAGGAAGAGGGCGGGATGATCTCGCTTTCGAACCTTCAGCTCCTTTCGAACACTTTGCACTGCCTTGGAAGGCATGGGACATGTTTCTTCCCTGGGCTCCTTCTCAACACCAACACAAGATGAAACACACACACATATATATATATATATGCTCCCCCCCCCAATGGACCCACCGCGGGTGGCAGCCGAGTCCTAGCCAGATCAAGGGAAAAACAACAAAACAAGAAACTAACAAAAACCAAAAAACCAAAAAAACCAAAAAAAACATCTTTTCCAAAACTATGGGGCTGGGGCCTCCAAAAGATGGGGGTTTTTTGGTTTTCTCGAGAAAAAGATGGTGTTTTTGGTTCGAAACCATCTTTTTCTCGAGAAAAAGATGGTTTTTGGAGGTCTTCTCCTGGTAAAACCATCTTGTTCTCGAGAAAAAGGTGGTTTTTCGAAGGATGGTTGCTCAAAACCATCTTTTTCTCGAGAAAAAGATGGTTTCGAACCAAAAAACCATCTTTTTCTCGAGAAAACCAAAAAAACCAAAAAAAACCAAAGAAAACATCTTTTCCAAAACTATGGGGCTGGGGCCTCCAAAAGATGGTTTTTTTGGTTTTCTCGAGAAAAAGATGGTTTTTTGGTTCGAAACCATCTTTTTCTCGAGAAAACGATGGTTTTGAGCAACCATCCTTCGAAAAACCATCTTTTTCTCGAGAAAAAGATGGTTTTACCAGGGGAAGACCTCCAAAAACCATCTTTTTCTCGAGAAAAAGATGGTTTCGAACCAAAAAAACCATCTTTTTCTGGAGAAAACCAAAAAAAACCAAAAAAACCAAAAAAACCAAAAAAACCATCTTTTGGAGGCCCCAGGCCCATAGTTTTGGAAAAGATGGTTTTTTTGGTTTTTTTTTGGTTTTCTCGAGAAAAAGATGGTTTTTTGGTTCGAAACCATCTTTTTCTCGAGAAAAAGATGGTTTTGAGCAACCATCCTTCGAAAAACCATCCTTTTCTCGAGATAAAGATGGTTTTACCAGGAGAAGACCTCCAAAAACCATCTTTTTCTCGAGAAAAAGATGGTTTCGAACCAAAAAAACCATCTTTTTCTCGAGAAAACCAAAAAAACCATCTTTTGGAGGCCCCAGCCCCATAGTTTTGGAAAAGATTGTTTTTTTTTGTTTTTTTGGTTTTCTCGAGAAAAAGATGGTTTTTTGGTTCGAAACCATCTTTTCCCGAGAAAAGATGGTTTTGAACAACAACCCTTCGAATAACCATCTTTGTCGAGAAAAAGGTGGTTTTACCAGGAGAAGACCTCCAAAACCCAGCACTATAGGGTTATAAGGTTCTAATCCGTTAGGTATTGCCTAAACCTTCAACCCTAAACCTTTAACTTTAAACCCTGCAGGGTTAACCCCGTGAGAAATTTAGAGATAGACACCGAAAAGACCCTAAACCTTCTTACAGGGTGTAATGGTTTAAAAACCGATGTATACCTGCAGGTGCTAGATCCCTATAGGGTGCTAAGGTTCTGACCCTGAAGGGTTTAGGGTTAAGGCTTAAATGCCCTCTAGGTTTAAATGCCTAAGTCTTAAACCCCAAACCTTCAAACCTTCATCCTATGGGGTTTGAAGGTCAAGGGTTTAGGCTTGATTGCCGAGGGCTTTAGGGTCCTGACCCTAGAGGGTTTAGGGTTAAGGAATAGATGCCTAAACCTTAAACCCTTTAGGTTTAAACTCTATGGGCTTAGGTTTAAATGTCTAGATCTTAAACCCTAAACCTTTAAACCTTCACACTACAAAGTTTAAGGGTGTTAAGGGTGACAAATTAATTACATACTTAGGTTTAAATGCCTAAATCTTAAACCCCAAACCTTTAAACCTTAAACCCTATAGGGTTTAAAGGTTAAGGGTTTGTTGTGAATTGCCGTCTTAGGTTTAAATGTCTGAATCTTAAACCCTATAACTTTAAACCTTCACCCTACAGGGTTTAAAGGTTAAGGGTTTCGGTTTAATTGCAAGCTTAGATTTAAATGTCTAAGTAAAGAATCCTAAGCCTTTAAATCTTGTCCCTAGAAGGGTTTAAGGTTAAGGGTTCAATATGAACTGCCGGCATAGGTCTAAATTCCTAAACCTTAAACTAAAACCCTAAACCATTAAATATCTTAACCCTATAGGGTTTTAAGGTTAAAGGCTTAGCGTTAATTGCCGGAATCGGTTTAAATGCCTAAATCTTAAGCCCGAAACCTTTAAACCTTAGCCCAACAGGGTTTAAAGGTTAAGGGTTTAAAACTAATTGAAGTCTGAGATTTACATGCTTAAATCTTAAATCCTAAACCTTTAAAATCTTAACCCTACAGGGTTTAAAGGTTAAGGGCTTGGCTACAGGTTTAAATGGCTAAATCTTAAACCCTAAGCCTTTAAACCTTAACCCTACAGGGTTTAAAGGTTAAGGGTTTAAAATTAGTTGCAGGCTTAGGTTTAAATGCCTTCATCCTGAACCCTAAACCTGTCAAAATCTTAACCCTATAGAATTCAAAGGTTAAGGGCTTAGGGTTTAATTGCCGGCATAGGTTCAAATGCCTAAATCTTAAACCCTTAACCTTGAGAAACCTCAACCCTACAGGGTTTAAAGGTTAAGGGTTTTTTTGCAGGCTTAGGTTTAAATGCTTAAATCTTAAATTATAAACAAAAGCCAACAGAAAGAAAAACCCTCCGTGTGTGTGTGTGTGTGAGAGAGAGTGAATTAAGGAATACAGTCAAAAATCCGGTCACCGGAAAATCACCAGACAGCATAGGTTTTATCGGTATTTGCGGTACTTTTGCAAAGATCAAGGCCCGCGATGGGTCCAATGGGGGGGGTGACCATATATATATATACACACACACACACACGCCCACGCCCACGCCCCCGCCCATGCACAAGCACATGCACGCGCACACGCCCACGCCCACGCCCACGCGCACACGGAGCCACAAGGTCCATAGAATGGTTACTGGCGAAGATCTGCTTGACGATGAGGATGGTGTCCTAAGTATCCTGATATTCCAACTGTCCTGATGTTTCGAGATGACATGTATGCCAAGCTCAAAGCCGCAATCTGCAGCACCATCCTGACCCAACTGTCAAGAAACCGCTCGATTGCATCGGTAGAATGGCATACGAACACAAGGTGAGATGATCCGTCAGGGGTATGGTTTCGGCCCCTTGCTACGCCAGACACAAAGGAATAACGTAGCACGAACTGAGATGAAGATGACAGTGAAATGATGCCTCACCCAGCTGGCCACCTGGACCCCAGGTGCGGGCAAGCAGGTACGTTTTCCTGGGGGCAGGGGAGAGCTTCATTGGACGGAGCTCCCTTGCGCCCCCTCCGTCCCCCTGCATGAACGGTCAAGAAGCCGCTCTATAGCATCGGTAGCTGAATCGTCTTCCAACACCCTTAGCTTAGAATCAGGATGTACACACACACACACACACTTTCTCTCTCTCTCTCTCACACACGCACACACGCATGCCGTAAACCCCCCACTTTCCACCTCCCAAAAAAACTCTGCACAAGGGCCAAGCTGCAGCTTTCCAAGGCGCCTTCTCCTTTGCCGAGAAGGGCTTCAGCTCCCACTTTTGCTTCGTCCCCTTCGCCCCCTTCTTTGCCATGGCTCTGGGAAGCTCGGGCAATGGCTTGCGCGGCCCCGCTCTGAGGCCTTCTACTTGCGCCCGTGACTTCGTTGGCGGAAAGATCACGGTGCAAGGCACAGGGACAACTCGGGGAAACCCGGAGGGTGGAAGAAGTGACCGTCTCCTCCAATCGCCTCGCTAAAACAGATCCCTCCAAGCCCGACAAGTCCCTCCTCAAGACCCCAAAGCACCCTTTTTACCGTCTTTTCCTCCTACCTCTGAACCGGTTGCATAGGTTGTAGGAGATTCGTTCGGGCCCCTCCATAGAACCTGAAAAACAAGATTCCAACATCAAAGTTCTCGGCATCTAAGAGAGAGAAGGGGCACCTGCCCCATGGCTCCCCGCAGCAGCCAGACCTGAGAGCTCTGCTTGGCTTTCTTTGCTTTGATTCACTCGTGTGGTTCTGAAAAGCACCGCACTCTATACTATATACATATATATATATATATGTATATATATGATTCAGCCCCGGCGCCCTCCCCCCTACCCCCCCCCCCCCCCCCCCAATGGTACCCCCCCCCCCCCCCCCCCCCCCCCCCCCCCCCCCCCCTGTGGTGTGGTTGGGGGTTGGTTTTAGGGTTTTAGGGTTTAGGGTTTAGGGTTTAGGGTTTTAGGGTTTTAGGGTTTTAGGGTTTAGGGTTTAGGGTTTACGGTTTAGGGTTTTAGGGTTTAGGGTTTAGGGTTTAGGGTTTCCCCGCGGATGGGGTACTAAGATGATCCCCCCCCCCCTGTGGTGTGGTTGGGGGTTGGTTTTAGGGTTAGGGTTTAGGGTTCAGGGTTTTAGGGTTTAGGGTTTAAGGTTTAAGACTTAAGGTTTAGGGTTTAGGGTTAGGGTTTAGGTTTTAGGGTTTAGGGTTTAGGGTTTAGGGGTTTAGGGTTTAGGGTTTAGGGTTTAGGGACCGTAGAGTAGACTTGGGGGGGGGGGGATACCATGGGGGGGGGGGGGGGGCCCAGGACGCTCGACGCTGAACCATATATATACACACACACAGAAAAAGTCGCTCTTGTATTTACGTTTGAGGCTGAGGTCTTTCAGGGCCTTTATGCGGTTAAGGATTGGGACGTTTTAGGGTCGTAAATTTGAGATCTCTTCAAGTCTCCGGCCTGAAAAGGCTTGTTTTTCAAGGGCTGAAGGGCTATCAGGGGGGGTTTCCCGGGTTCTTGGTTTCCCGCTGTGCTGTGCTGGGTCGTTGTGAGGGAGCGGCTCTGGAAGGCCAGTTTAGGGCCTCAACCCCCTTTAAACACAATGAGAAAAACAGGGGGGGGGGGGGGGGGGGGGAAGGGGGCGCTTTCAAGGGGAAGTGCTGCCCAGGCTGCGTGGAAGTAGCGTACCCAAAAGGCGCCAGCGGCCACGTGCCAGGTGGACTTGATGCTGAGTACCTCTCCCACACTGCGGTTTTCAGCGGGTGCTCAGAGCACGAGAGAAAGCTCCAGCAAGGGAGAGGTGTCCTTTAGTACGTTTCGTGCACGTGCACGCACAGGGGTTTCAGTTCCAAAAAAAAAAAAGCGGTCTTCTGGGCTCACGATGGCTCACAGGGCTGCCCCCCCTGGAAGAAGGTCCCCGACTCTCGCGCCTTCTGGGAGTTCTGCCAGATGAAGCAGCCCGGGCTGCTCTGCAGATCTTGCGAGCAGATGAACTCAATGACAGCTGGCCGCCGATGGCAGTCGGCATTCCTGGGCGCTCTGATCGCTCCTTCTTGCCTAAATGGGTCGAAGAGCCCTTGAAACATCTGGAAACACGTGCTAAGTAGCCACTTATGCTGATAGAGCCGCCCCAGTCTGAAACCGCCTTAGACAGTGCCCTCTAGAAAAGGCGCGCGACTTCAAAGGAAACTCGCGGGATGTCCCTTTCTCGCATGGGGCTTCTCTTTCTCTCTCTCTCTCTCCATCCCTCCCTCCCTCCCTCCCTGTCCCTCCCTGTCTCTCTCTCTCTCTCTCTCTCTCTCTCTCTCTCTCTCTCTCTCTCTCTCCGAGGATCTGCATCCAGAGAATGTTCGCCAGCCCGGTGCCCTGGGGTCCGTAGGCCAGGAAGGCGGCATTGAAGAGGCGATACCTGAGCAACTCAGGTGTTGCAGCTCCTTTAGGGTTTACCCTAACCTCATTGTGCACATTTTTGTGTTTTTGATGTTTTTGTGGTTTCGAAGCTGCGGCCTCTGAATGAGCCGACTCTCAATCTCAATCAAAGACGGCCCTAGCTCTGAAGAGGCTCTGCTCCTCGAAGGTCATCAGCCTCCCTCCGGCTTTCTGTCCGGTGAAGACCACCACTTGGGGCGGATGCCCAGAAGCCTCTCCGAGTCTCAACTGGGTATCTCAGAAGCAAAGAAAAGCAGAGAGAGAGAGAGAGGGAGAAAGAAAGAGAGAGCGAGCCCTCACGAACACCAACCTGTCCCTTTTCGTCTCAATCGAGAGAGAAAGAGGAGAAGAGGAGAAGAGGAGAAGAGGAGAAGAGGAGAAGAGGAGAAGAGGAGAAGAGGAGAAGAGGAGAAGAGGAGAAGAGGAGAAGAGGAGAGCAATCAAAACTAGTCTCTCTCGCTCTTCTTTGTGATTTTCAATCTTTTCCCGCGGCCTTGAGGGCCGCTTTGGCCATGGCCAGGAGTTTTCGGTTGCTTTGCCGGCCCATGACGCGGCCGTGCGTCACGGATCCCGTCCTTTTTGCAGCGGAGAGGGAGCTTCTCCCAAGGCCCAAGACAGAAAGAATTTGGAGGAGAGGGCGTCCCCCAGAGGGGACCGCCAGAATCCGACTTCAAGGCGCTCTCTCCGGCATTTTTTTCAAGGGCTTTTCGGAAGGCTGCCCTGCCCTTCAATTCTGACGCCCGAAGACACTGCACGAGCGAAGACATGAAGCACCCTCCCGACATCTTGTGGGACAACGGACAACTTCGCGCCTCGATTTGCCGCGCAAAAGCGAAAACAATCTAAACATCCCCATAAATCCCATAAACGTCACCGAGGTCTCACTCGCTGGTAGGCGACGGCGCGCACCGCGGGCTGAGACTCTTTGAGCCGGCGTATCTGCGTCCTTCGCGGGGAGGGGCAGGTGGCAGGGGGAGGCTTCATTCAAGAGAAGGGCTTCACTCCTGCAGCTTCGGGTGGATCGTGCTTCAGAAGGACAACCCACATAATATAGGATGTCTGAGAGTGCAAGTCCGTTTACACAGTGCCGCCAAGTTCCACCCGATAAGAAAAAGAAACAGAAGCAGTGAGATTCTCTCAAAAACCGCCGCAAAGCGTCCGCAGAGGCCCCCAAAGGCTCATGAGCCGCATGCTATCCTCGGAGCACCAAGGGAAGGAGAACCCCTCGCCCCTTTCTCTCCACTCTCTACGACCCTCGTTGCGGGCAGCAGAAAAAGGTTCAAAAAGGGTGGGGTTCTCTCTCCTCTCCTCTCCTCTCCCTCCTCTCGTCTCCTCTTCTCTGCTCTCTTCATTTCTCTGCTCTCTCTCTTCTCCTCTTCTCCTCTTCTCCTCTGAGTCGTTTTCTCGCCGCGGCTCGGGCCGAAGGATGCCGGGCTTCGCCTTGATCAGCGACAGCCGGCCCAAGGTGCAAACCACCTCAACGGAACAGAGCAGGAAAGAAAAAACGAGAGAGAAAAGAGGGGGAGGGCCTCTGTCAAAACAATATCCCCTTCTTCTGAGCAGAGAGCAGGGGCAACAGAGAGCAGCGCAGAGAGCCAGAGAGAGAGAGAGAGTCAGAGACGGAGAAGTAAAGAAGAAGGATGCAAAAAAGGGAAGAGCGTTTGTTTATGTGAACGGTTCTTTCTTGAAGGAGTGTTTTCGCTTTCGAAATTGAACAAAAAGGGGAAAACCCCAGGAGCAACAAAGCCTAACCCAGGACCCAAGCCACATTCGGTCAGTTCCCCGAGCGACGGCTACCCCAACAAAGCCCCCTTGTGGCCATGACGGCGGAAAGGGGGCTACCTCACAGAAAAGGGGAAAGCCCCAAAGCCAATCAAGTGTACACCAAGCTCTCGGCCTGCGTTTCGTTCACGAAGACCAGCCTCTTTGTCAGGTCTCCTTATGAGGGACACCACGGAGCCGTCCCTGGAAGACCACATTGGACTAGATCCCTCCTCCCATCTTCTCTCATCCCCTTCTCTGAAGCTCGATCCTGAATCAGGCGTCTGTCGTACCATCGCATGAAGCGTTCGATGATGCCTTCCTGGGCGCATCAGTAGTCTGGCTGTGATTCCCCTGCTTTTGGGCGTTTGGGCTTTTGCTTCCACTTAACGGGAATGTCAGGGATGAAGCCAAGGTTTCCATGTACTTCAACACAGGCTGAAGGGCTGAAGGAGATGGGGGTACCCCAACACCGCGAACAACTGGCAGCCATCTACCAGGTGAAGAGAAGGCCCCCGATCTCCCTGAGCCCGGGCGCTGGGTCCCGTTGCAGCACCAGCGTGGACGTGGCCTCGGCAGCGGCGAGGAACTGGAGCAGCGGCAGGAGGTCCAGCAGCAGGTGCCCGTACTGGAACCTCCTCGATTTTTCGAGGAAAGGTTGGATGTGGGATGTTATAGGCTCTTTCCAGCGGCTCTTCCTCTCTCAAGTTTTTTCTGGGAGTCAAGAAAAACCGACATCGTGGACCACCCCCATCGACCCTGAGAAGCCATGTCAACATCGACCCTTTTCAGGGGACCGTTCAGCCACCTTCAAAAGGGCCCCAAAACCATCTCAAAAGCCACCAATTCCCCTAAAGACGTCTTCTAATCCCTTCTTCGAGCGTCTGCGGCGACAGGCCGCGGTAGAAGGCCACGGGGCCCGGCAGCTCCAAGTTACAGCGGGGGGGGCCTCTCAAGTAGAGGGTCTATGGAGTCTATGAGTCGATGAGATGGCTTGGCTTACAAGTGCGACTTATAGGGCTCCGTAACCGTGCTCATGCGCGGTGTTGAGGGTTCATGCTTTGGGAACTTTGGGGAGATCACTGGTGGGCCCCGAAACCCCACCCCCCTCCCCCGCGTCGTGTCACGCGTCCTTCAGCAAAGGGGATTGCCAATCCGGAGAAAAGGGACGCCTTGCCTGGGATTTGCGGCTTGGGGGGATTGGGCTTCTTGTTGGTTTGGCTCCTTTCCTTTTCGGTACTTCTCTGGAAAGGAACCGCTTTACGGACCAAGTCTTTGAGTGTTCGAGAGCATTGCTTAGTGGCTTGGAGTGCTGAGGGCCACAAGTCAAAGGCTCCGGCTGTGCTCCCCCCTCAGACCGCTACTTGGGAGTACCGCGTCAGCTCTCAGGGCTCAGGGTTTGGGGTAGATTGGGGCTCGGGTCTGATTCCTGCGCACTGCTGGAACTGTGGTGGAAGGGGAACCCGTGAATGTGTACAATGACGAGATGAGAGTGACAGAACCGAACAACGGACCGTGGCCTTGCGCTCTCCAGTATGACTACTCGGAAGGCGGCTAAAGGCATAGCCCCTCAGCCTGCTTTGAAGTGCGTGGCTGGCGGACTGTCGGCCATCCTGGATCGTGCTCGCTGCACTCTGGATTCGGGCGTGGTGCACTGCTCGCGCATGCTCGCGCTGTGCACATGCCTCAGACCCTGTCAGAAGCTGTCATGTAAGGTGTCTAATATTGAATTTCTGAATTGCAGGGAGAAGGTCGGGGTCCGAGGCTATCTAAAAAGTCATGCTGCTGTCGTTGGTCCACACCTGGGTTCGCCACTCCAGGTAGTGTGGGCCATGCTCCGAGGTCACGAACCTCGAAAGACTGAAAAGGGGGGGCGCAAGGAAGCCTGGAACTCAAAAGCAGTCGGAGTCGGAGGGGGAAGGGAGAGACGAAAAGGAATCACTCTCCTTTTTGCGGTTTTGTGTGCAGAGAGGCCGGAAGCGGCCGCCGCGGGCCGCCGCCAGAGCGAAGGTCCTTGGCTCTGCCCCTTTCAGCACAACACGCCTCATGCGATTCCTCCCGACTCCTCCTCATGACTCTTCATGCTTGATGTGCTTCTTGGCGCTTCCGGGCGGCTCGGCCATGGGCCGCGTCGCCTCGCGTGCCACGGCATCACGGAACGCCGGCCAGTTTCTGCGGTGTCGGACGCCTTCGCGAGAGCTCAGAAAGGTTTAAGGGGCTTCCCGATGGCTCTGAGGGTTGTGGGTTGTGGGTTGTGGGGGCTTTAAGTGGGTTTTCGAAAGCCTTCTTCAGGGTTTGTGTTTTGGGGGAGGGGGTGTGCGCTTTGGACTGTGGGGTTGAGATGGGGCATCCTGTGTCGGGGTTGTTGGGTTCAGGTTGCACGCCGTTTGAAACGTGATTCGGAACTGTGGGAAGGGTGGGCGGAAGACTGGAACTCGAAGGCTGCCGCGCTTCCGTTTACAGCACCTGACGGTTCCCTCTGCGAGCAGGCGGCGCTTTATGATGCTTGGGTCCACATAGAGCTGGGCCTTTCCTTGGCTCCCCTATGACAGAACCCCCTCCCTTTCCCTTCTCCCCCCCCTACTGAAAGGGAGCACTCAAAGAGGAGAGAGCCCGAACTCAAGAGAAGAGACCTCTTTCACCTCCCTCAAAAAAAAAGAGGAGAGGCACAAGAGGCACAAGAGGCACTTGCATCTCGAAGGAGGAGTCCCAGGAGCCGGCGGTCTCTTCCCAGCGGCAGCTGTCACTCTGCGGGCCCTTCGGGTTCTCCGACCTCTTCAGGGCACTGCAAGGGCACTGCAAGGGGATCTTCAAATTCTTCGCGTGGTGGTCTTAAGTGGTACGCGATAAAGAGCCATGGCTTCACAGTGGAGTTTGGGGGAGGGGATCTGGTACAAGGCCTTTCAAGGCTTCAAAGGGTTTAGAAGTTTCGAAGCTGCGCTGCCCAAAATCAAACCCAAAAATCCCCCACACCATGCCCAGAAAGTCACACCTGGGCCCCGCGGTCGGGCTCGCCAGGGGCGTCCTGTCCGCGTTTGAAACCATCAAAGCCAGTGTCCGGCACAATTTGGAGTTAGCTTACCCAAGGCAAGCAGGCAATTTCGAAGAACACCACCACAACAGTCGACATAGGCGACATAGGTGTGATTGCAGTGTACCACCACGTCTAACACCACCAAGAGAGGCCCCTCAAGAAACTCCGGCAACTTACGACATACTCCCTTCCCAACATCTTTCCCCTCCCCCGATTCCAATCAAAATCTGACCGCCCAGATAGTGACACCTGGGCCCTGCGGTCGGGCTCGCCAGGGGTGTCCTGAGACGATTTTGGGATTTCTTGAGGAGGATATTTGGCGTCTTTGAACACCCAACTCGAGTGTCCGGCACAATGTTGAGGACTTCTAGGATGTAGCTTGCCCGAGGCAGGCAGTTGTGATGCTTGGAGGCGTCTCCGCTGCTTTGGGACTTGCTTTGTGACTCTTCAGTTTTGTTCTGGCCGCGGTCATTTGCGTTGCAAGGACACTCACATTGCCCGTGTCCTGGTGGGCTGGCTGCTCCCCTGCTTCGGCGCGGGGGTTGGCCTCGCATGTGAAGAGCCGAAAGAGTCGAGAGAGTCTAGCAAGGTTTGCGGATGCCGTGGGAGTAACATTGGCAACAAGCCCCCCACCCCCCCCTGCAATTTCGACGAAGACCGCCAAGAGAGGCCCCTCAAGAAACTCCGGGGGGCAACTTTCCACAGACTCCCTTCCCCCCCGAAATCGCTTTCATCCTCGTCCCCCCCCCCCCTCCCCGGCACCCAACTCTTCGAAGCTTCGGCTTCCAAGTCCCGAAGTGGAGGCCCCGCCGGAGCCTCAGAGAGATCTCTGCAAGGCATGTGCTAGGCTCCTGTTTTGGGGGTTTTTTGACGAGGGAGCTGGGGGTTGAGAGGGCTTCGGGTAGCTGGCTTCCTTCCTTGCAAGACAAGGAGGCGTTCGCCTCCCAAATCCCAAAAGGCCCCGGAAGACGCCGAAAAGTCCAAAAAAGTCCGAAAAAGGGCTGAACCGCGTCTCTGTTTAGGCTCCTGTTTGGGGTTTTAGAGGGTTTTAGAGGGAGAGTTGAGGGCTTGGGGTACTTGGCTTCCATGAGCAAGACAGGTCTAGCGTCTCGAAAGCTGAGGGCCCCGGCTGGTGCCAGGCAGCGAGGCCTGGGCGCAGCACACACAGGGGCTTCAAACAGGGCGGGCTCACGAAAAACCCTCCATTCTTCCTTTTTTTTTGGGGGGGGGGGGGGGGGGAGGGAGAGATTGCCTTGTGAGTCCAAGTCTTTTAAAGAGGATCTCTTCACTCTCTCTCTCTCTCTCTCTCTCTCTCTCTCTCTCTCTCTCTCTCTCTCTCTCTCTCTCTCTCTCTCTCTTGAGAAAAAGAAAGTGCGCGAGCCCTAGATGTTGGAGGTCTCAAGAAAAAAGGCCCATCTCTGAGGATTCCGACTGCAGGCCGAGCCCAGCAGCAAGGCAGCGAGAGCAGCGAGGAACCCGGGCTTGGACCTCTGGGAAAGGCGTTGCCCCCCTCTGCCCCCCTCCCTGGGAGGAAGGGAAGGCTGCGGGGAAGGCTACGCAGGGGTGATGCCTAGCTGCTTTTGGACTTTTGAGTCTTTGAATACACATCACTTTGTTCTGTTCGGGGGCCGTTGTTGTTCATCTTGTTGGGTATATAGGCTTGGATGGCTTGTGGTGGCGTGCTAGGAACGGAGCAACTGTACGGACTGTGCGGTCAAAGCCGGCATGAGAAAGCACGCTGGACCGCTGGATTTCAAAAAGATGGTAGAGTGATGTTTGATGGTGGTGTCTGTTAGCAGCTTGTGGTGAGGAATCGCGCATAAAACGGCACAAGAAACTGATTTACAATCCATCAGTATTTAGGATTGTTGTCGTGCTTGAAAGAGGAAGGTGCGCGGCGGGCGGGCGGGAAGTTGGAGGGGGGAGGGTCGATGAAGTCAAACGCCCAAGTTCGAAGAGCCTCCCACACTGATGGTTTTGGTTTCTTTGCGGGCTTGTTGGGGGGGGAATCTCAGATCTTTCTATAGGCTGCTCACTCGACTTGGCCTGGCATGGTCACCACAACGCATGGCATCGCATCGCCACCTGTTGAAAAGCTCGCGCTTGGAATCTAAACACCGACTGTTCTCTCTTCTCTCTCTCTCTCTCTCTCTCTCTCGGAAAAGCTTGCCTTTCGGTCCGCGGCCTCCGCTAGCAGAGGGAGCTTTTCTTGCATGCGCAAAGCGCGCACGGGGCCATCAGAGGCAGAGGCAGTACGAGACAGGATTGTGTGCTTTGCCAGCTGTGTTTTCCAAGTGTTTTGCCACTTTGTTGCAACTAAGACTTTTGCGGGAAAGTCGGCGTGTTGGGGGGTGGTGGCATCTCACATTGCCCCAGCAATGCTCACAGAACTCACTTCACCAGCTGTTGAGATAAATACAGCCTGCTGCTGATCATCTAACTCGTTCTCAGTGGGGAATTCGGGAAGTAGGCACCTTGTATCCCTGTAAATAATTGTTTGCCGGATTATGTAGGGCACCATCGTTCCCTACTAAGAACCATCATGCCATGTGGCTCGGGGTTTACAGCACACTCTTCTTGGAAGAGATCGGGAAATACGCCGTGGCCGCCCGTTTCTTGGGAGTGTCTGTGTAGTGTTTGATTGCCTGGTAATTCGAAGTGTATCGGGGCGCCATATTTTGCCTGGTTGTTTTACGCCCTGGCAAGTTCGGATTTAGCCGAAGGCGAGGCATGTCTGCGACATGCGTGCTCTCAAGTTCCTGCAAAACTACTTTATGTTGAATTCACCACTGCTGGTTGTGTACTGGGGTTCGCCTCAAAGGCACGACAAACAGAGCCCTAAAGCAACCCCACATGTCGGGAAGCTCATGCGAGCACATCTGGGAAAATGCTGATTTTTCCACGCAGGCAGGGCTGTAGGAGCCGCGGAGTCTGCAACCCAGAGGCGAGAGGCCTTGGCTCTTGCAAAGAGCAACGTCGAACAAGCACGAACATGCACTGGCTCTGGGCACTAACCAACATCGCTTACGCGCCGATGCCACAATTGCACTTCATCTCATTCAGAATCTGTACGCACAAGGAGATGTCCAGAGTCTTTCCTGTAGAAGCCTTCTGAATACACCGTGAGTGGCGGTGGGCTTCGGGTTGCAGATTTGGGGGGTTTGGCAGGTTCGGCAGGTTCGGCAGGCTTGATCCTCCATGGCGGGGTCCTGCATGGCAGGGTGACCCTCCATGGGGGGAGCTTCGACAATTCCCGTTCCCGTCGCTTTGGAGGCCTTTGCCTCCCAAGTGGAGCGCGGACAACCTTGCTCGTTTGCCGTGGAGAGTTCATCTCCTTGGCTGCGGTCCCGCCCTCGGTTTTGCCTTCGGTCCTTGGGCTTGGCTCGTCCGGCACATTGGGCATGTTGGGGGCACTGTCGGGCACTGGGCGCCTTGGCTTCGGCATGGCCTTCTGCCGAGGCGTCTTGGGCTTGGCCTGGACCACCTCGATCGGCTCGATAACCTCAACGTCAGAGCTGGCGTCGCTGCTCTCGGCCTCCGGTTCGGTCTCAGCGTCAGCTCCTGAGGAGATTTCCTCAACATCGGGAGCTGCGATTGCCTCTTGCGTGCGAAAGCCATCAATGAAGCTTTCAGTGAAGCTTTCAATGGACGGCAGGTCGCTGATATCCACAGGCCCCGGCTCAGAAGCGCCTTTTGGCTTCGCCTCCAAGAATGGTTTCCAAAGGCTCCAGCCTTCAACGAATTCTTTCGGCGGGGCATCGATCCTCACGCACACTGCCTTAAGCCTCACGCTCTCTTCTTGCAGAATATACTGTGTTCCGGTGTTGCCGTGCTTGCGCTTCTTGCGCTGGCCGGGCTCAATCCAGAGCTCATAGACCAGGCGGTGGTACAGTTTGTCAGGAAAAGGTTTGCCTGGTCTCGCATACTGCTCGGCAACTTCAAAGGAAGGTGAGCAAAAGACACCTGTACAGCTGTTGAAGTCGTGGCCCAGCTCACGGTCATGCGAAGCCAGAACTACACCAGTGGCAGCAACAAGCCAGAGCGAGTACCACCAAGTGCCTTGGAAGGCCACATCCCAGTCTCGGAAATCGGCCTGTGTTGGCCGAAAGTTGTACTTGTGCCAGATCCTAAGTTCTTCGCCGTGCTCCTTTCTGACAGTGCCTGCATAATCAAAGCAATCTGACAGACCCCTCGCTTCCAGCCACCGCCGCATGCAGGGTTCAACAAGGCCCTGGAAGAGACGGCTGGCCAGCTCCTCACATGCTTCTTTGCCAAGGGAAGGGACCAGGACCCTTGGCAGAGGCCCCGCAACCCGGCGCTTCTTGCGTTTCTTGTCTCTCTTGTTGGCGTCCTGCTGATCCTCCTCTTCCTGGCGCCAGCTCAGGACGAGCGCGCCGCGGCATGCTGCCGCTTCGAGCCTTGCATCAGCATGGGCAAGCCGGGCAAGCATGAGGCGGCGGACGCCATTGGATGATGGAACTGTCAACAACAAAGCCTTGCAACCTGGTAGGCATACTACATATACATCCTGTATACTTTTACTATACTGCGCATGAAAAGGTATATGCTGCATCTATCAGGAGAGCACGTGACCACAAATGAACCCCTTATAGGGTTCAGGGTTCGGGGTTCAGGGTTAGGGTTTAGGGTTCAGGGTCCCTAGGGTTTCGGGTTGAGGGCAACGCCTTTAAATTCAGCCAGGCAGCGCCGTCTCAGGCCCGCATCGTTCTTTCGAAGACAACGCCCCGGCTAAGGCTGCTGCTGCGGACTTTGGGCTTAGGGACTTGATTTACAGGTTCAGGGTTTAGCGTGCAGGGTTTCAATTTAGGAAGTGGGTGGGGTTTGTATTGAAATGTGTAGAACTTTGGGTTGGCTATGTGCTTGAAGATCGCAAGCTGCAGAGTCTTCGCCCTGCAAGCCGAAACAGGAACAAAGAGCCGTGAAGTACCCGAACGATAAGCCCTAAACCAAGCTGGCCAGCAGCGACCAAAAACCCCAAGCCGCCCTGAGGTTCAAACGCAGTTGCTTCAAGGTTTGCTTCTGACGTGTCGGTGCAAGGGGCCAGCGTTAAGGTCTGAGGGCTGAACAGGGCCTCTAGGTCTTATAGTGCTGCCAGGGCCCTAATCCTAGGGTTTAGGTCCACAGGCTGCGCAACTTCCCCCTGTGCTCAGTCTCCCTGTTGATGTCGGTGCTCGGGAAAGGGGCTGTCAACCCATTGCTGCCGCCGGAGCCGTACCAAAACCCCATAAACCCTACTCCCGAATCAAACCAAAAACCCACGTGATTTAGCTTAGAATTTGGTCTCTTGGTGGCCGCGGAGTGTTCACTTGCTCGTTCGGCGTTGCTCCTTCTCTTTCCCCTGTTGCTCTTGGGGCCCATGGTGTTTCACATGGCCGGTTTACTTGCAGGGGAAACTTTATGCGCTGTGGGTAGCCTGTGGACTTCCGGAGAAGTTCTTGGTGGCATGGGTGTCCGGCGCTTCCCCACCTGGCTCTCTGGTGGGAGCTTCCCCCCCCCATATAAGAGGAGATGTCCTTTGAGAAGGTCCTATAGTTGGATGGTGGCCCGTGGCCTTCCTGGGTTCCCAGCGGATTTCGTTTGGGCTTGTGCTTTTGGTGATTCTCTGGTTTTCAATATTATATATATATATATTATATATATATATATTATATTATATATATATTATATTATATATATATATATATATATTATATTATATGAGAGGGTGTTTATCCAGGCTCCTGAAGGGTCAAGGTTTCCTGCTCGCTTCACCTCGAGGTTCAGGGAAGATTAATTCAATATGAGTCTTAGTCTTAAACAATTCATCTCCCCTTAATGTGTTTTCCACTAAGAATGAAGGTGGAGGAGTGAGGGCTTCGGTACCCATGTAGCTATTAAATCTTCCCCTAATAATGTGTTTTTGAGGGATCAAAGTGGAGGAGTGGCGGCCCCTAACGGCGTGACACCGTCTTGAGACCTGCTTGCTGCTGGAACTCAGCCACATATATATATATATATATATATATATATAGAGAGAGATAGCCACCCTGTACCAAAGCGGCAGCTGGGTCGTATGCAACGAGATAGCCCTGTACTGCAACAGCACGAAGGCCTACGGATCATAAATCCTTTTCGCATTCATGGAGACCCCAGGGTCGGAACTTTAAATTTGGGGAGATCGGATCGGGGAAAGGGAGGTTCTATGCAACTTGTGCCATGAACCATCGCGGCATTCATCAAATCGTACATGCAAGGTGCCTTCGTACACAAAAAGTAAAACCCATTTTGCGACGCGGGGATCCGTGCGGCAGACTGCAGCCATGAAGACTGAGAGCTCTCCTTAGACCTTGCCACCCATGCTCCTCTCACGGGGAGCGAAACGATTGGGGCACGTTCGGGATTCCAAGGACTGGGATGCAATTGGGGGGCACGAGTGCTCGAGTGTGCCTTTTCCAATTACACAGCGTATGCACTCACTTGTCCCTTTTTCTGCCACCTGACCTGGGCCGAACCGATGCTCCTGCTACCTGCTACTGTAGCAAGCTTCCTCACCACGGGCTGAAACTGCGGCTCACGCTGCACTCCGTTTGAGAGAGAGGCTTTCGCAGTGCTGCAATGTGCCTGCAAGAGCTTGAAACGAGTGGAGCAGCGGGATCTGAGGGGACGGAATGGATGCTCCGTGGTGGCTTGGAGGCTCCGTGGTGGCTTGGAGGCGGATGTGGAAAGCGATTTGGATCTTGGTGCAGTCCGCCTCTGCGATCTGCGGTGATCCCAAAAGTGTCAAGTGCCCGCTCTCCTGCCGTATGGGTGGCGCATATGGACGACGTTGCCATCACAAAATTCCCCCCCATCCACATGAAGTTCTGAGTACATCCCACATCTGCCCAACTGCAGTTCTAACAGAAAAGTAGCCCCCGGAGAGAGCTCTGCAAACTCAGAAGGGCACCACTGGGCATTCTAGATTCATGAGTCAATGAGCCCACGCATCTAAACGGCAGGAGGGGCACGAGCTTCGAGCACAACGGTCCACAAACAATTGTCGAAATGCTCGCAGGGACTTGTCTGCTTGTCAACTTGCGTTTTAAGGAACCCTAAACCCTAAACCCTAAACCCTGAACCCTAAACCCTAAACCCTAAACCCTGATGATGGACTTCGATGGACTTCGGGCAGCTTAGCCGGGCATCCTGTTCCAACACCAGGGCTCTTTAAAACGACCCCATTAACTTCTCCCAGCTCTTTTTCTGTTCCCACCTTGTAGTTAAAAGTCGCAACTTCTATACCCCTAATGGCCTAAGAGTTGCGACCCCTTCCTCTGCCCTTGAAGCTACTAAAGCCGGCTTCTAAGCATGCGACTCCCACGCTGTTTCCGGACAAGTCTCAGAAAGAGCGCGCTCAGAGCTTAGGCGTAGCCCCCAGAAGCCATGGCCCAGGGGGCCCGGAAGTGAGATCCGCAGTAGGGGAGCGAGGACTCCTTCCCGAAAAACACAAGGGGCAAGCTCCAAAAGGATAGCATTAAATGCGGAGTTTGAAAGAGGGTGTCGGTCATATATGCTTGGATATATAGATACAAGGTGTGGTCCTGGGGGTGGGGGGGGGTGGGGGGGGGCGTGACCATATAAACACTACATGATCCCGGTTCTCGGTTCGCCACCCCCCTCCCCCATGGTATGCCCCCCCCCCAACCCCCCAAAACCTAAACCGCAAATCCTAAACCCTAAACTCTAAAACCCTAAAACCTTAAACCCTAAAACCAACCCACAACCACACAAAGGGGGGGGGGAACCCTAAACCTGAAACCCTAAACCCTAGACCCCTAAACCCCTAAACCCCTAAACCCCTAAACCCCTAAAACCCCTAATCCCCTAAACCCCTAATCCCCTAAACCCCCTAAAACCCTAAACCCTGAAACCCTAAACCCTAAACCCTAAAACCAACCCACAACCACACCACAGGGGGCGGGGGACCATTGGGGGTGGGGGGGTGGGGGGGGGGGGGGGGGCAAAAAAGAAAGCGCTTGTGCTTTGCATGTTCTACACTTCCCCACCTCAAAACGCATCCGAAAAACCGTACTACATTGCCATTTAGTGAACACTGTGTGATTTGCCTAGGAAAAGCTGATAAAAGCACAATCTTATGCGAGAAACGCTTTTTCTGCAATAATCAAATCCACAAATCCAAAAGTTCAAAGCCATGAAGTCTGGATCCAACATTTTGTAGGCTTAGACATGACGTCTTGGGGTGAATGTACAATCGAATTGAATTCAATTACCAACGAAGCCCGGATGATCATTTCTCGGGGTGGTTTTCTCAGGGTGCGATTGCAATTCAAATTTCTCATTCGATTTGATTGTGAGCGAGGCTTAGAACAGGACGTGTTAGGGCTAGGGGTGTGGCCCCTTGATTTCAAACCCAAAGTTGCAAACGAAGCCCAGACGAGGATTTCACACGCTGTGGGTCGAAAATGCAAAGTTCGAAGTAAACTTCACTGCGAATCGCGGCCAGAGGAGGATTTCATATGGGTGTGGCGGAATATAGAATTCTAAGTGGATTTAGTTACGAATGAGGCTTAGAAGGGCGTGGCCTCTGAACGTATATAATTGTTGCTTAGGTTTAGTTACGAACGAAGCCCCGATGAGGATTTCTTAGGGTGTGGCTGTATCACACACACATGTCTACTGACATCTAATGGACAGGCCCCCAACGGTGATTTCATAGGGTGTGGCCTTCAAATCTAGAATTCTAAGTAGTTGTAAGTACGAATGAGGCTCAAAAGGTGATATCTTAGGGTGTGGCTTCTTTATGTCACAATTCTGTCTATGTTTAATCACTACTGCTGACATTTCATGAACACCCAGAAGAGGATTTTGTGATGTGTGGCCTTCGAATTTAGAAATCGAATGAAACTTTTTTGCGAAGAAGGCCAGAGGACTTCTCAGAAGAAGATCTCTAAGGGCGCGGCCTCGTAATCTCCATTTCGAGTTCGATTGATATCTCTATAAATAAATACCTGCAGATCACGCACATCATACAGTCGGTGGCAGACTCGCAGGGGGGGGTGGGGGGCCCGCTCTCCTCCTCGATGCGAAGCAGCTGGTTGTACTTGGCGAGGCGCTCGCTCCTTCGGGGATTTCGGGGGGATTTTCTTTTGGGGGGGGGGGGGGGAGGAAGAAAAATGGGTCCTCAGGGTGGGGGGGGGGCCCGGTAGTAGGGCAAAATCCCAGACTAGACAAGTGGTCAAGTCGGAGTTTCTTTCCCAACCAAGACAAGCCTCTCCCGCATCGCCATGACCCCAAAGAGCTGCACCCCGCTGAGCCCGCTGTAGGCTATGGTCCCTTCTTGTATAGCTCTCTCAGGACTGTTTCTCAGCTAGCTGCTCCGCGTGTCACTTTTCTCGGAAGGAGGCAGAGAGTGCAGAGAGTGCAGGGAGTGCAGAGAGTGCAGAGAGTGCAGAGAGTGCAGAGAGTGAGCCCAGCCCAGCATCTCCCTCTAAGTCGAACTCCTTGGCTCCTTGTTGTTAGTAGAAGGAAAAGAGGCTCTTTCTGTAGAGGCCCATCCCGACTCAAAGCGAGAACATATGACTCTTCTGTCCCCTCTGCTCTCTCTTCTCCCTCTTCCCTGTTCTAATTCTCCTGCAGGGCGCTCCCGTCTTCAGGTGCCCCGTGCCGAGCCCCACGGTCAGGTCCTCGCAAGGGAGAGGTGCGCGGAAAGAAAGAAAGATAGGGAGAAAGGGAGAAATGGCTAAACAAAAAAAAGAAGAGAGAGAGAGAGAGACAAACAGTAAGAGCAATCAAAAGGGAGAGGAGAGGAGAGGGGAGAGGAGAGGAGAAGCTAAGAGAGAGCAGGAAAGTTGTGAGAGAGGGGGTTTTTCAGGGGCTGTTCAGGAGCGAAGCACTTAAGTGCATTCTCGATCCAAGCTTTTCGCTGCTTGGGATCAAGGGAAGTCTGGCAAGAGCGGGCCCCTGCTTTCAAAAAGCTGACCTATGCCAGATCTGTTGCACAAGACTTCAGGGTGCCGCGCCCAACGGCCGAACGGCAGAACGGCGGAACGGCGGCAGAAATCTCCTATAAACTCCCATATATAGAGCTTCGTCGGGGAGAGTGGTTGGGCGCTAGCAAGCAGGCGTGGCATCTGAGAACGCTGAGGGCCCGGCAGCAATGAAGGTGTCCTCTGTCCAGTGGAAGAAAGGCTTACGGCATATCAACAACGCGCTTCTCATGGGTTTGAGCTCGGGCCTTTGGAGTGTGGGGCCTGGGTAAGTGACTAAGTGGGCAAGTGGAGACACCTGGCATTTGAGGGCTGGGTTGCGTATTCGCTGGGGAGGGCCTTCCAAAGTTTGAGTATGGACGCATGGACTCCACGTCAACGCAGGGGAACCAGCAGCTCCGCGGAGCGGGCCTTACAAGCCCCGAAGCCTGTGTTAGGAGGGGTTTGCTAAAGAGTGTGGCCCGGTAACCCTGCACGCCGGTTACCTCTAAACGTGATTAGCGATCACGTGACTATCGCGTGATCGCTAATCGCGGGCTATATATCGGAATATGTGAAAAAAGGGAACCAAGCACAGGGGTAACCGCAAAACTCTCATCAGTGTAGGGCTTGAATAACCGGAAGCCTTTTGAGCTTCAGAGCATTGAGGGCTTGAAGGGGTTTGAATGTTGGGTCTAAACAGGACTTTTACATAAGGTTGTAACAAGGGGCTTAGTTTAGTGTGGGGGGTTAGTGGGGGGACGCGGGCCCCAGTTTGAATCTCGGGAGCGCTCCTCGGTCTCCCCGGAACGATGCGACACGAAGACTCCCCACCTCGCAAATTCAAATGGGTATGAAGTACATCCTTGGGCCACAGGCCGTATTTGTGGTTTGTGTGGTTTGTGTGGTTTGTGTGGTTTATGTGGTTTGTGTTTAGAGAGGGGGCGAGAAAGAGCGAGAGAGAGAGAGGGAGAGAGATGGGGCAAGAGAGAGAGAGAGAGAGACAGAGACAGAGACAGAGAGAGAGGGACAGAGGGAATTTCAGAGTACCCAGAGAGGGGGGGGGGGTGGGTCGCCCCAGCAATTGGACCCCAGCCACTCTTTTTTGGGGGCCTCTCTCCCTTTCTCTCTTTCAGGCCATCCACCAGGCTCCGAGCACAGGCTGGTAATTGAAGGGCAGCATCAATTATAATGGCTTAGGGGTTTCCATGTCTTTTTGCAGAATCTCTCCCGAATGGCAAGGTTGGAAACAGGTTTTGATCAGATCAAATACTGTAGAATAGGTTGCACCCATTCTTGGGTTCCTGTTTAACTTACGGAAAAGTTCACCTCGTTTTGTCGGGTCCACGGCTCCCGGGATTCCCCTTCACCGCAGGCCTAGAAATATTCCCTCTTCAACCCCAAGAAGGGAGCCCGAAACCCCCCCCCCCAAAAAAAAAAAAAAAACCCTCAAGCCTGAAAAAACTATCAAGCCGCGCTTAAAACAACCTAAGCGCCGACAACAACCCGAAGCCCTCCCTCCCTCAACCCTCCAGAAGCCCCCTACACCCTGAAGAACTCCTATACAAGCACCAGGCGAACCAGCTATGACACCGAGACGCTTGTTGTCTCGGCAGAGCTTCCAGGCTGCGATGGACTCGGACACGCTGCCGATCTGGTTCACCTCCAGTAACTCCAGTAGGGGATTTGTGGGTTTTGGACCAAAACACGTCGATATCAGGGTGTTTAGGGTTTGAAGGTACGTTTTTCTTTCGGGAAAGGAGGGAGGCTCAGTGGGGTTGAGTGGTTGCTCCCTGGTCGTTCAAGCCGTGTTCCATGGCTTTTCAATTCGAGGTGCTGTCGGCCAGTGCCCCCAAATCCTAAAACCCCAAGGAGCGCCTTCTAGCCCCGGGGGTTTAGAGGTTGGGGTCTTTAGGGTCAAAAGGCCGCAACATGCCAACATGCCCCGCACACCTGATCCCGATGTTGCTGAGAACTCAGAGAAATCTCCCGGGGGCCCTGGGGGGGGGGCCTTCAGGAGCATGGCGTTGGTGGCCTTCTTGTCCAAGCCTTGCGCAGGCTTCGATCGTCTACTGGTATTGGTTGCTTGAGTCCTTTTGGAAGCTTTTCGAGGCTTTGACGGTTCTAGGTGGCTTTTGTTTTGCTTCAGTTCCGGTGTAAGTGGAATGCTGAGGCCACTACCACCGACATCGAAAAACAGCTCTCGTATGTCATCGAGTACCGTTGAAATGCATTCAGCGAACTGTGGAAACCAGCGTAGCAATATGGGATGCTTGGGGTGCTTGAAGAACAGCAACTTCCGTGAAAGCAGGGTTTTCGTCTGCAAGCTGTGGTCCAGCACCGCATCCTACTGCGAAGATTCAAATAAGTGTTTGAGAGTTCCACTCGAGTCCTTTAGAGTTTTTCAACGACAGCAATCAATTCAAGGTGGTGTGAAAAGTTAAGCTTAAGCAAGCTTGATTGACAGTACAACCATGGGTTCAGAGTTTTTAAAGTCAGCAAAAAATGTTACTCAGGCAAGATCGATCTCAACGCATGAACTCTCAAGAAGGAGCCAAAGTAAGAACGAAGTTTGGCATTAATTCATTTGGGTAAGAAGAAAACCAACGTACAATGCAACCAGGTCGAATGAAGCACGCAAAGCAACAGGATGGTTCACGACATTCAGCTCAAGATTAGCTACAGCGAATGGAGCGAAAAAGGTTGATACTGCAATTCGCAGCAAAACCAATGACGATTCACAAAAGGACGTGCAGCCAAAGTAAAACTAGTGCTTCTTGAAGCGAGTTTGTTCTAAACTCTCGAAGAGACGTTCGCAGTCCCACTGAGTATCCGTGGGGCCCACAAAGAAGCCTGCCGAGTATCCCTCATGCACGCCCAGAGAAGCACGCGTGGCCCGCTCTGAAGGGTGAATCCCGCCAAGTATCCCTGGAGGGCTCCCAGGATGGCCCCGCATCAGGTAGCTGTAGGGTGGGGATTCTCGAAGTCTGGTTTTCGCCGGGGACTGCCCCAGAGAAGGAGCTGGATGCAAACCAGCGGCCCATCTGCACGCGCTTGACATTCGTGCAGTAGAGGTCGTCGCCGACAATTTCCACCTGCCGTGGCTTTGCTTCACACCGAGCAGATGTGCCCTCCTCCTAAACCATCAATTACACCCAAAGCTCACCAAAGCCTCAACAACCCTCAAAAAAACCTGGCAAAACGGGTTCGTGACTGGGGGGCTTAGGCCTTGTCGCCCACGAGCGCGGTGAGCTGGGAGTGTCCCTCGAAGTCCTCCTCGGCGAAGGGGTCCTGGCGAAGGTTCACTTGTTTTTGGGTAAGGGTCATTTTCAGGAAGCTCGACTCCCCCCGTGCCTTGGAGTTGCTCTTCCAATTCCCCCCCCCCCCCCCCGGTCAAATCTCCCCCCCTCAAAGCAAGGGGCCAAAAAAAGAGAGTGCCTCCAGCAGCGCAATGGGGTAGGTGTCGCAGAAGCGCTTGTAGGTGGCTACCTCAAGAGCTGATACACACACAAAATGCACAGGAATCGTGCGAGGTGTGTGTGTGTGTGCGCATAAATAAATACATAAATAAATAAATAAATAAAAATATATGAATATATACATATATATTTTTATATTTATTTTTTTATTTCTGTATTTATGTATTTATTTAGGTGTGTATATATATATATATGTGTTTATGTTTGTGTGTCTGCATGTAACATACACACATAACTTACACAGTCATACGTATGTGTGTATATCCACAGTTAGATAGAAAGAGCAATGGACAAACAACATGGCATGCTGAAGGATGAGCGGTGGTGTAACCGTTTAACCAACTATTCCTCTAGCCGTTTCTGAGATATCAGCACAGCTGAAAGCTCCTCCTCGAGCCTTTTCAGGCCATGAGAGCAGAGCTGGACGCAGGTTCATACGGCATTGCAAATGCCTTCATGGCCTTCATGGCCTTGACTTTAATGTTAGAAGTCTGCCAGGTCCCACCTGCAAGGCCCTTCTTTTGAAAGCGTTTGGTCTCACAGCCTTTGCCCTGGAAAACATGCTCTGGATTCCTGAGGAATTTGCAGAGCACCAAAACTGCTTTGTACCAAGTTCCCAACCCTTCCCCACACTGATTTTAGTGAGCCCTGACACTTCTCAGAACCACCCTCAGGACCGGGCTCCCCAGCACCCGCCAACCCGTTTTTGCTTGAAGCTGCAAGAAGGCGTAGTAGGCGCGGCATTTGCACCCAGGATGTGGCACATGAGCTGACTAACTGCATCTGACGCGTGGTCCAGCAAACATTTACGTTCCTGCTGCGGTGCTTTTGTTCTCTGGTCTTTTGTAGGTTGTCCAATTGGTTCTTCCTCGCCAAAGTTCCCTCTCCTTGCCTTCGCATTTTCAGGATCTCAGCCGTCGCACAAGCTTCGCAGATCCACGGAAGCTAAACTCCGCTCGCGCTCTGAGAGGTATGTTTGCACCCCCTACTCAAAACAAGAAAGCCTGAGAGAAGGGACGACCCAACCCTGACCTGCAGGCCCTCTCAAACCCAAGAGAAACACCGAAAGGCCTTTCAGAGCGCCCCAGAATCCTCCGGTTTATGGGGGGTGTGAGGGGTCTAAGTAGTGCGGGTTAGGGTTGAGGGCTTCGGGTTTCGGGGTAGCCACGCACAATATTATGATGAAAAACAAGGGGCGACACTGTGTTCAAAACAGCCCGGTTCTGTGTTGTAGCCATGGCCCGATGGGGCCCGGGCCATCTCCTCCCGGGTCTTCTTGTTCTCCGGCTTGGGGTTGGTGCTCTTGAAATCCATGTCCTCAGAAGCCAACGGACGCCCAGAAAAACAGCTCTCATGGGGGCTGAAGAGACAATTTGCGTCGCGTCAGTTGATAAAGAAGAGCTAAGAGAGAGATTTAGAGAGAGACTTAGAGAGACGAGAGACTATGAGAGACTCGCTAAGCCGAAGGGGCGTACTTCTGCTCGTCGCCCTTCCAGAACTCCGAGGAGGCAGGGTCGGAGCCAATCCTCGGTGTCTCTTTTTTGAGGGAGGGGGGGGACTTGGGACTTCTCTTTTTCTTCTCGACACGACATCGAACGGTGCGCACTTTTGCTCTCCCATGTTTTGAGTATGCTGTGCCTGCGCATGAGCAGGCGAACCGCCCAACACCCGGATTCTGTTGCGTTCATAATATTCATGCACCCTTCATGCGTGAACTTATAAGGGCGCATTAATATTATTCTCTTCACCCATCGTATTACCTCTGTTGGCTTGTAAGGATTCAATCTCAAGGTGGGAAAGTTAGTACGAATCTGATGAACAAGACACAGGATTCATTGAACCTCCACGCCACCTCGGATGCCGGCCTTTTCCACACCCAGACCCTGATCCTCTTCCGCGGACCGAAAGCACGCGTAAAACATAAGGTTTGGAGTTTAGGGGGCTTCTAGGGGTGAACATTCTCAAAGGCCCGATACCTGCCAAAACCGCCAGACATCCTGCGCAAAGCTCAAGCCCCCAGCAGGATCTTACCTTCGTGGCCGGCCTGGCAAAGGCAGGGGAAAAAAACCTCTCAGTCTGAGTCCTTTGAGGGGTTTCGAAAGGGGTGGCACGTGACAAAAGGTGAGGCCACTCAACAAGAGGCGTGGAATTTGGAGCGTTTATCGCTAGGCCTGCAAAGTTGTCAAAACTGAATCCGAAACGCACTGAAGCCGGAAAAAGAGGAATGCCAAACAAAACATGACATCCAGCAACTTTAGCATAATCCCCCAAGAACAAACATGAAGGGAACGCAGCAAGCAAGGCGCGAAAGGGGCCTGGCTGATGGCTTCCAGGAGCAACTTCAACCCCTGCGGAGGGCCAGACTTTGGCTTCGGGTGTGTTGCCGAATGCACGAGGCCCATGGAAGCCCCCGTGTAAACAAACCCCGAAGCCCTTTCGAAACTTTCTGAGACCTTCTGAGGCCACCCTGACCGTCCGCTCTCCCCCCCCCTCTCCGAGCAGCAAAGAGGAGAGAAGACGAGGAGATAAGAGGAGAGGAGAGGAGATAAGAGGAGAGAAGAGAGAGAAGGACATGAGAGGAGAGGAGATGAGAGAAGATGACGGGGGCATAAGAGCAGAGGGGGCGAAAGAGCAGAGGGCGCCTCCTCGGGATCCGCCACGGCCGGAGCGAAGCCGCCCTCGTCGCCCACGGCGGTGGAGTCCAAGCCTGGGTTTTAGAGGAGACGGGAGCGCGTTTTTCCCCCCAAACAGGAACCGTTTGGGACCCTCTCCTCAGAAAACAAAAGTGTCACGTGCTTGGCGAGATTGGTGTCACGCGATTAGGGTTCGTGGTCTCCCACGGCCTTTGTGTCTGATTTGGGGGCCATCAGGGCGCAGAAGGGGTGTTGCTTCCGACGTCACCCTGCGAGTCACCAAACCCTACGAGCACAAAGGGAGGGGACATGCGGCAAAACTCTAAGGGATAATGTGTGAATTTACTTCTACAGCGTTCTGAATCCCAATGCTTGGGTGCTGGTTGAATACGCTCGGCCCCAAATCAAAAGCAGGATGCTAGTTGAACACGCTCGGTCGCGAACACTTGGGTGCTATTTGAGTACGCTCGGTCTCCAAGAAGCAGGATGCTAGTTGAACACGCTCAGTCTTTTCGTATACACAAGGAGCAACCAAGATGACGCCTCTCTGAAGCCTTCAAGCCTCGCACGCTGGGCCCTTCAAGCACGCTCGGTCCCGAAAACTTGGGTACGCTCGGTTCCGCAAAGCACGCGGTCGGTCCCCAAAACTTGGGTGCCATTTGAGTATGCTCACGCTCAGTCATTTCGCACACACAAGGACCAACCAAGACGCCTCTTCGAAGCCTTCAAGCCTCGCACGCTGGGCCCTTCAAGCACGTTATGGTTCTAGGGCTTTCCAGGCCTAACCTCTGCCCTACGAACACGAAGGAAGGGGACGTGCGACAAACTTCAAGGACCCTTACGAACCTTACGAGAACGAAGGGAGTGGACATACGACAAACCTCTAAGGGATATGTTTTTACTTCTACAGTGTTCTGAAAGTGCAAACTTCAGGAACAATATTGGATGTTTTTGCGCTTGTGTAGAACCTTTTCGCAGAGCAAGCAGGGTTTTCACCCGACTCTCCTTGCTCCGCGAAGAGGTTTCACAGCCCCTAAAAAGGGTGGTTTAAGTAAATAGAGATGCTTACCCCCTGTGTGCTGGTAACGTAATCGTGGCTCCATAGGGTGTGCAAGCGCAAAAAACATCCTATGTTTCCGAACGTCTGCACTTTCAGAACACTGTAGAAGTAAAAACGTATCCCTTAGAGGTTTGTCGTGTGTCCCCCTCCCTTCGTGCTAGGGTTTGGTGAGGGCCCTAGAGTTGTGTCGCATGTCTTGCTCGAAGGGTGAGGGCCCTAGAGGTGAATATAACCGTTTCAAAGTGCAGGCGAATTATGGGGCCACGATTGCGTTACCAGCACAGGCTTTGGAACCCCTTTTTTTAAAAGCAGGCGCTATAGGGCCACGATTACACTACCAGCACAGGCTTTGAGGGGCAGAAAACTAGCCCTGAAACGTGTTTTGACGTGTCGAAACACCTTGGATGTTTCCCTTGCGACCAAATCCAAATAGCTCGCGCCATGGCGCGAGCTATTTGGTCATCAGGGCACAGAAGGGGTGCTAGTTGCTTACGACGCCAATTGACGAGCGCGGAGGGGACGTGCGACAAAAATCTAGGGCCCTCATCAAACCCTACGAGCACAAAGGGAGGGGACATGCGACAAACCTCGAAGAGATGTGTCTTTACTTCTACAGCGTTCTGAAAGTGCGGTCCCAGGACTTGGGTGCCATTCTAGTACGTTCGGTCCCCAAAAAGCACGATGCTAGTTGAACACGCTCGGTCCCCAAAACTTGGGTGCTGTTTGAGTACGCTCGGTCCCAAAAAAGCAGGATGCTGAACACGCTTGGTCCCCAAGACTTGGATGCTGTTTGAGTACGCTCAAATAGCTCGGGCCAGCGACCAGACAGCTCGCGCCTGGAGTGTTTTAACGCCCGGCTTTACTGTTGGCAACCAAAGACACAAGCGCCTCATGGAAAACGTCGAGAAAGCGTGCGTGGATTTTGCGGGCATTTGGGAAATACAAAGGTTTACAAAGAAGCCAAAACCTTCATGCCTCGGAGCCTCGCGTGGCAAGCTTCTCCTTGCAAGTTGGCCATTTCATGGGGTAGCGGGGGCAGCTCTGGTGCGAGCTATTTGGTCTTCTAGGCGCAGATGGGGTGCTAGTTGCTTACGATGCAACCAAATATTGTGATGGTAACGTAATCGTGGCTCTATGAGGGTTGTGAGTATGCCGCTGTGACCAGTAAAACACGTTCCCCGAAGAAAGAGGTGGTTTAAGCACATTGAGATGTTTGTCCCTGTGCTGGTAACGGAATCGTGGCTCTATGAGGTTCGTAAATATGCCCCTGCGACCAGCCCTGAAAACTTGTGCTTTAACGTGTCAAAATATCATGGATGTTTCCCCTGCGACCAAATAGCTCGCACCATGGCGCGAGCTATTTGGTTATCAGGGCGCACCTGGGGTGCTAGTTGCTTACGATTTCACTCCAGACTAACATGGCCTAAACTGAACGTGACTGTGCAGACGCAACCAGGTACAGAAGAAGCACAGTGCCACTTCTTTTCCTTCGGTGACGCTGGGGAATATCCTTTGAGTCTCAGAGGGATCTACCCTACAGTGCCCTACAGTATCTACATGTAGCTCCCGGCCCAGGGGGTTGCAGCCGCCAGTGCGGGCCCTAGGGCAGGGACTACCTTCACCCCCTGCACCAGCCCGACGCATTTTGCAGGGACGTGGTGGGCGGGAAAAGCAAAATGCTAAAAGGGCACTACCTCCTCTACTTGATTCTACTCGCAAGCTGTGATGTCACAATCTTGCAGAGAGCGGCACATCAACACGTGCAACCACGCATGCACTAACCCAACACAAGCAGGCACTCACAGACGCGTGGAACTTGCGAGTTGTTTAGGCTCGTCCAAGTGTGGACTCACTGTTAGCCCAAGTGAAAGAGTTATCATGTCACTGGCTCCATGACGACACTCGTCACCCTACGAGCGCGAAGGGAGGGTACGTGTGTGACAAACCTTTAGGGCCCTCACCAAACCCTTCGAGCACAAAGGGAGGGGACATACCACAAACCTCTAAGGGATACTGTATGTTTTTACTTCTGTCTACAGTGTTCTGAATCCCAGAGCTTGGGTGCTGTTTGAGTACGCTCGGCCCCCGAAAAGGCAGGATGCTAGTTGAACACGCTCGGTCCCGAAAACTTGGGCACGCTCGGTTCCGCAAAGCACACGGTCGGTCCCCAAAACTTGGGTGCTATTTGAGTACGCTCGGTTCCCAAAAAGCAAAAAGCAACACACTCAGTCTTTTCGCACACACAAGGACCAACCAAGACGCCTCTCTGAAGCCTTCAAACCTCGCACGCTGTGCCCTTCAAGCACGTTATGGTTCTAGGGCTTCAGACCGAAATTCCAGGGGCCCTCACCCTACGAGCACGAAGGGAGGGGACATGCAACAAACTTCTCGGGCCTCACCAAACCTTACGAGCACGAAGGGAGGGGGACACACGACAAACCTCTAAGGGATGTGTTTTTACTTCTACAATGCTCTGAAAGTGCAAACGCTAGGAAAAACATAGGACGTTTTTGCGCTTGTTCCTTTCTATTACTCGGGCAAGAAAGGCATGAATCATGTCTACGCCTTTGGGTTCAGACTCATGGTGCCGCATGACTCACCTATTGATGGGCGGGCACTGAAGTTCAGTGTATCCCTAAACGCCGGTTAAATTTATGTCTCGTTGTTTCACGCGTTTCCTTTTCTCGACAATCTTACTAGTTGGGGTCTCCGCGGGGAGAGGGGGGGGGAGGGGCCCTAGCGCTTTTGAGGGCTTCCAGGTTTGTAGGGCTTGCCCCCTGATCTAGGGGCTTTTCTTCAGGGGCTCAACTCCTCCCTTGGCTTCCCCATGAAGGGGAGGAAGCTTGCACAAAAGCTCCCCCCCTGTTGCGTGAAAATAAGCGCGGTGCCGTACTTCTTCTTGATGATTCCCTTCAGGTTGTGGTAGGTCTCCGAGCCCAGCTTCATGGCCTCCAACGCGAAGAGCGGCGCAGAAGCTTAGGGAAACAGCAGGAGAAGCAGCTTTTGATGGGAGAGCCCCCTTTTTTGGAGTTGGGCTCGATCTGGGCTCTCCTCGGCGAAGGTCTTGGCGCCCACCGGGATCAGAAAGAACTCCTTGCAAAGCTGCTGGGCACCCGTTCCACACAGCCGTGTTTCGGAAAGCTTCGGCAACTGCGACCCCAGGCCAGAGAGCTCACTGAAAGACATTGAGGAGGCCTGTTTTGTGCTTCCTGGGACCGAGAGGCCTGAAGGTACAAGACTCTAAACACCCCCCCCCCCCGGCCTTCATAAAAGCATCACTATGTCTAAGCATCCCACCTCCCACCGCACATCCCACACAAAATGCCGATTCTAGACTAACCTCCGCTGCACTCCTGGAAGGCCAAGAAGTTCCCTGCATGGACGCCGCCGTTGATGACCTCGTCACGGAGGCGTACACTTGACTCAAATCAAAAATAAGAAGCTCTATACTATTGTGGCTTCCCCATGTATTTAGGACGGACCTTTTGACCCGAAAGCGTCCGAGGCTGCTCTCTGCCCTTGGAAGCTTCAAGGGGTGGTTTAGCTGTAAGGCTGTGGGCTTGGTCTTCGGAGCCCCTTGAAATCCCAAGCCCTGGCCCTGAAAGTCAAGGATGTCAAGGCACGTTGAAGCACGGCACCGGCATGCACATGAGCGGCTTGCCAGCGATCTCGTTGATGTGCCTGCGCACCGGGCTTCCACGAGTCATCAATCATCAATGTGATTCTTTTCGGGGGTTTGGGGCTTGGCTTTCGTGCGATACCGCTATCGCTCTGCAACACTGCAACACGTCAACAGATGCAACAAAACTTCATCTCCTCATCCCCTTTTGTCTCCTTCCCCCTTTGTTGCACTACTTCCCCCCAAGGCGCTTGAAGAGGGGAAGGCCCTTCTGCGCCGCCCCAGCGCGGCAGCAGGCCATTGAGACGCCTCTTAAGACAGAGAGAAGGCTAAGGAAAAGGTCAATCTGAGGAGCACCGCCCCACTCGACAACAGCCCCCTGGGTTTTCTTGTTTTTGGGCTTTCCGGGGTTTATGCAGAGGGGTTAAGTTTTTCTAATTTCGCGCGGACCTTTCGGACTCCACGTCGTTCATAAAGCAGAAAAAAAGGGGAAAAATTTGCAAATCTCAAGCCACGCAACGGAGTCAGATGCCTCATTGAGAGTTTTCGGGGTTTTAAACAGAACCCTTAAAAGAATCTACTCAGACCCCCCACTCAGAACATCCAAAACCCCCTCTCTGCCTAGGATGGCATTGGCTCCCAGATTGGTCTTGTTCTCCGTGCCGTCCTCTGCCGGTATCCAGTCTGTGCACACGCGTTGCCGCGCACATTAAGCTGGCTTACATTTAGGGATTCATTCGGGCCAGGAGGACTTTCTAGGGTCTGGGAGTTTGCTTTTGGGGTTGTTTGAGAGGGTGAGTGTACCCGACAGCGCAATGGGGTCCAGGTCGATCATGATCTTGTCAATGCCCTGCTGGTCGGCAGGGTCCTGAAAGAAAAGGGCAGATGAGTCTTTTGCAGAGACAGATAGAGAAGGAGAGAAACGAAGAGAGAAGGAGAGAGAGAGAGAGTCGGACAGGTTGCTTGCAAGCAGTACGTCGCTGATTGTACATATATCTCCAGTGAGCCCAGAAGTCCTATTTACGACGGGCTCGCATTTGATGAATTCGCGAACACAGGTGTCAAAAAAACAACGATCGTCGTTATGCAGTTCGCTCGATATAGTCACTCTGGCGCTACATGTTGGAAGCCCTTAGTGTTGACAAGTATGTAGGTACGTAGCACCTTAGAAGAGGAAACCTTAATCTCACGTTTGAAACATTACTATAGGTACCTGTACCCATACAAGAACCGCCCTTTCTAGGAACCCAACTTTCAACCATAGACCGGGCTCTGCGGCTCTACTTCCATCACTCCAACCCCTAAACCCTAAAAACAACCTAAAACCTCAACGCCCCAGCGCCCTCCTGTACCCGAAACTCGACGGTGTACAACCGCGCATTCCGATCCTTTCCGATGAGGGCTGGGGCGATCTTGGACTTCACGTTGTCAACTGCCTTCGCGACGCCTCTGAGTCACTGGAATGGATGGGAACCAAACACACACACACAGAAAACTCGGTTTAAGGATCTTGAAGGGTTGATGCCCCGATCGAACTTAAACGCTTTGGCTGCTCCAAACCACAAGGTGGAAGACCCCACGAAGTCCCGAAGTCTTCTCAGCGCGGCCTTTGCCCATGTAGTCCTTACCGCCATCACGCAGCTCGCACGCCTGAAAAAGCGGAGGCAAAAGAAAAAGACCAGAGGCGTTTCAGGGTCGGCCAGCTTCATCTTGGGGGTTTAGGGCCTTTGGGGCGTAGGGTTTGTCGGGCAATGGGGTGTGGGTTTGGGGCTCGAGCGGTCGGATCTTCAATGTGAAGGAACAGGGGAACAAACCCTCAACTCCTCTGATCCACCTCACAAAAATGAAGCCCAAAAACTCTCTCTAGAAAAACTGTTTCTTATCGTTTCCAGACACCATTTATGTTCGCAAGAGACCTGCTTTCCTATAACAACAAAGTGCTCTCTCTCTCTCTCTCTCTTTCTCGTTGCCGCGCCTCGTTCTCGCCGGTGGAGGCACCGCTGGGCACGGCGGCGCGGAAGACGCCGGCTTCTGTGGTGATCTCCACCTCCCCGTCCCCGCGCTCTCTGTTCATTTTTCGAGAATGCCGAGAACGAGAAAAATCATAACACACACTCTGGACAGGGCCGAGGGGCTTATGTATGGCGTATATGGGTTACTGGGTGTTTTTGGGGCTGTGTGGGGGTGTTGGTTTTGGTGCCTACTTTTCATCAACTGGCTGAAGCTATTGAGCTGCTGTGGTTTGTCGAGAGCGGGGTCTCTGAACCAAAACCAAAGCAGAAGCAAAAAACAAACAAGTCAACTAAACAACGCACTTTTTTCAATAGCCCATCCCGGGAGGGGCCCCCAGCGCCTCCACGGTGGGGTTGCCGCGGGAGTCGAAGATCTGGCGCGCGTGCACCTTCTGGATCGGCATGGCGCCTGGGCTCTGCGGCGCGGTGGTGTTTCTTTGAGAGGCGCAGTTTAAACAGAGAGAGAGAGGTGAGATGACTTGCAATTGAGGGTTGAGGGTTGAGAGAGGGTGCGGCGCTTTTAAGAAGAGATCATAAGAGATCTGTGAGAGGGGAGCCCCTCCTTATGCCCCTCCTCGAAGCACACCGAAAAGGGCCGCCGGCGCAACCCGAGAGGCCTTTCTCATGGATCTCATGCTAAAGCTCAGACATGAAGGCACCCCCCAAACGCCCCGAACCCGCAAAAGGCTCAGAAGGATGCCAGAAAACGCCTTTCAGACCGGCTGCTGATGGCGGAGTAGGTACACAAACTGTCCCCGGGTTTCTGAGCCAAATGCTTCGGACAGAGGGACTTGCCCTGTCGCGCCGTACAAAACGGTGTGTGCGGAATGCCTCCGCCCCGCTTCATTCCCCCGAAGTCTTGCTGAACGGGGCTCCGATGATATGTTGCAGCACGTAGTAAATGTCAAGGTGTTTCGGGGATGGTTTCTTTAGCCTGGGCTTGGGTCAAATTGCAGGGTTTGCCGTAGGGTCTCAGGTTTCGTTTCTAGAGTTTTTGGGTGAGAATTTCCAGGGTTTGCGAGCCGGATCCATGCCGGGTATCCAAGCAATGAAGAATTGTTTTGGCCTCGCAAAGGAGGGGACCACTGCCTTGGATATCCGTCCGGGCTCCGTTCTTTCTTCCCCCCATGTGGGACAATCCCCGGATGGCCATGGTCAGGGTGGAGCAGGGGGAGGACGAGCCCCACCTAAGAGCGCTTTGTTTGTTGTACTTTTTTTTTGCTTCGGGCGCAGGGGCCTCGCTCTTTGGATCTTGGGCGGCTTGTCACTTTGGGTCTCCCAAGCTCTCGCCAGCGGAATCCAAGGCTAAGGCGGCTAAAGGCTAAGGAGGGGTCCTCTCAGAGAAGCTGTACAGATGCCAGAGGCTGCCAGAGATTGCCGGAGTGGGCTAAGGCTAGACTGCAAGGGGTCCTTATGTTCGCGTGAGCCTCTGTCTCGGGGCAGGGTGTTCCGTAGTGAGGCTCACTCCACAACTCTCTAGGTCTAACATGCACGCTGTATCCGAGGGCCTTGTGCCCCCGATTCGCTCTCTTCTCGGAGTGTAGGGAACAGCTTTGCAGCAAACCGCGAGGCTGAGCCCATGACAACGCCATGAAGCAGTTGGGGGGAACACATTGGGGGGAACTTCTCAGCTAAAGAGAAAGCACCTGTAAGTCAAAGCCCAATGTGGAACGCACCCAACCTGCCCGGCCCCTTCTCTGAGACCTGGCAGCTCGCAACAGCTTAGGAGTGTAGCTGGAGGGGGGGCTCTTTCCGCCAGGACTTTCTTGGCACATGGGCGACCCCAAGGATCTTCTGCAAGCACACTCTCCGGATCCCTTTTCAGTCCACGTCCAGCGCGTCCCGCAAGTTCACAAGTTCCTCTTCCTCCACTTTCATGTTCGACACCTTGGGCGTCGACTGTTGGGAGGCTGACGCGACCTAATTCGAAGCTGCGCTCAACAAAACCAACGGTGCCTCAAGCAATCCTTGCTCACCGACAGAAAACACAAAATGCTAAACGAGTAAATGAGCTCACTGTCAGAGTCCCTCTTAAAGCGGGCCGTAAAGGTAAAGGGTGAATCGGAAGATACCCCCCTTAAACTGCCAACCATATTTGTGGGCTCACCATCCCGAAGCCCGCAAAACCGTAGAGCTTTTAACCCAAAAACAACCGTTGCTTCCGCCCAAGGGGACACGATCCAACTCAAAATCGCCGCCAGAGCGGCTGAGGGAATGTCTTCCGGCGTGATGACCCAATCTCCCCCGTTCACGCGGGTGTCAAGGGTCTCCTGGGCATAGGGGTTTAGGGCTTATGGGGCTTTAGGGGTTTGAGGATTTATGTTGGGCTGAAGGGTTTAGGGTTTCAGGATTTGGGGGGGCTTACTCTTCAGGGCATTGACAGCTTTAGGGAGAGTTGTTGGCCGCAAGGCTGTTGGCCAGATTGTCACCAAAGCGGCAAGCATCAAATCTGAAACCCTAAAGGCCTGAAAACCACGCAATCTCTATACGTACAATCTACGCCAATCTCGCTGACATGATGAAGCCTTAACGCCGCCCTCACACCCTAGCTGAGAACACAAACCGGACAGGAAAGGACAGCGAGAGAAAAGCCAAGGGCCCCTCCCCCCGAAGTTTCTCAATTCTAAGAAAAATCAGTCTCCGCGCCTGCGCCCAGACCTGCTGCTTCAGGGCGAAGATGATGCGCCGGCCTCGGTAGGGTTTTAGAGGGTTTATGGGGCCCGTGCTTCTTTAGAAACACCAGTGAAAGAAGCCTCGGAAAGGGAAAATCCTGTCCCGCGAAAAGCTCAGTGGGAACACAAGGAGCCGAGTTGGACAGAGCAAAAGGGTCGATAAAGGGGCTTTGGACAGCTTCGAGTGCTTAAGTACTGTAGAGGGCTTTTGGGTATGTGGTTTGGGTTGTTTAGGGCCCCGAACACTGTTAACCCTAAGTCGGTATTGCTTGACTCGGAAACTGAACCCGATCCACGACTACCATGGGATACACGGGGGCCTGTTTCCAAGCAGGTATTTGGGCGGATGGGTTTTAGGCTTTTGTGTGGTTTGGAGTGGTTGCGTTGCCATGTGTAGAGGTGGTTGTGCTGTCGGAACCTGCCGCGACTCTCTTTGCCAGCGAGTTGCAGAAGACATCCAGTTTGATGGTCTCCGGCTTGCCTGCCACGGTTTAGCGCTGGTTTTATGCCCGGCTTCGGGTAGATGGTTTGAGTCTTCCCTATGCACAAAACGCCGGCTGATGTGGCCGCTGTAGGGTGCCTGAGGCGTCGTCGCCAAAGGGCTCTTCCATGATCTCCGCCAGCTCCTGCGCCATGGCCAAGAGACGAAAACCAGAACCGCGAACAAACATCTTCCGGAGGTTAGAAACTTCAGCGGAAAGAGGCCCAAGCCAAGTCTCTACATGAGGCCTCTACCACGCGCACACACATCAAAGATCTGCAAGAAGAGACGTGCCCGGACCTCAGTGTAGTACAGAGCCCAGGCGACCAGCAGCACGGAGGGCACCACAAGGCCCTCGGGAGCTAGGGGGAAGAAGGTCCAAAGGGGGGCCTAAGCTCCCTAAACCCTAAACCCTAAACTCGACAAACCCTAAACGCCTCATCCCCCAAACAGGTTGATGCACAAAGTTGAAGTAAGGGCTGAGGACTCCAGGAGGGCTCTTCAGTGGGAGTTCTTGTGAGGGAAAACGAAAATTTATTCGGAACGGCCAGTGCCCGGCAATTCTCCCAAAACGGCCAACAACTTCCTCAAGAAAAAGTGCACAGCCTGGCAATCCCAACATGCTCGGCTCAACGTCACTGCCGGTCCAAGCACTGACTCCTCACCGGGTGCCCCTGCCGGTCTCATGACATCGAGCAGAACGAATGGAAGAGTTCCGACCTCTGGGGCCATGGGGGAAGTGATGCATCCAGAGTTAGATTATGATGAGGGGGGGGGAAGGGAAGGGGGGGAGCTTCGGGGCCTCGATAGGGTTTCTTGCTTGTTGTTCCGTGGGCCGATGGGATCCGGGCTCATGCTAAGCGGTCTCAGGCACCCTGACACCTGGTTAGGGTTTGGGGAAAGGGCCGCAAAGCCTCAACCAAGTCCCACCCAAGAGCCGCACCCAAAGACGGATGAAGCGATCTGCGTGGATGGTGTAGCTGGCCGGCAGAGGTACTTGCACCTCTAACGCGTTAACTTTGAAGGCATTCTGGGTGTTGAAGTGGGCAGAATAAGTCGTTTCTAAAAGGGTGCTTCTTGGCACGGCACGACGAGGTCCAGATTGCAGGAGATGCTCTGCAACTGGCTGATGCAGGTGTCCTGTGGGAGTTGGAGTTGGGGGACACCCGTTTTCATAGGGGCTTCCCGGGGAACCACCAGCAAAATAAGACGAGAAGACTCCGGGAAAAAGGGCAGCTTGGGGCCGCGAGCGGTTTTTTGGGTTTAAAGTCATATGGGGGCATTCCAGCTCCTCTTCGAAGATGCTGTGATAACATTCTTTCAAGCCAGGCAAGGCTCACAAGGACGAAGCCTAAGGGAAGTGCGCAAGGGAGAGTCCGGGGCCAGTGATTAACCACTCAACTTTCGGGATGTCCGGAGGGGTGATTCCGATTTCAGGGCTAAGTGTCCATCTGATTCCAGAGCGCGAGGCTCTTGCCCAGCCCATCGTCGCGATGGCGCAGGGGCCTGGGGCACAGACTTCGCAGATCGAAGGGGTTTGGCAGGATGGCCCGAGGAATGTGGAACAAATGCATGGATTGGCACCTCGAAAACCAGCCTAAAATGACAAAAGCCCGAACTCCAAAACCCTGAAAGCCCCCGTTTACCCCTCTGAATACATCACCTGGGCCGAGGGTTTAGTGCGCACGCGCCCTTCAAGCAAAGTTCTTCCCCCCAATCACAGCGTGCTTTGCCCTACTTCGGCGCGCGCCGGATCAGCATGGACAAGCTGGAGAGCCTGGGTTGCGAGGGTCCAGGCAGTCATAAGGAGCTAAGAATGCCCGGAACCCTTGGACCCAAGAAGTGGTACTTGTTGAGCAGGCCAATTCATGCTGCAGGGTTTAGGCACCAAACTTGAGATCTGGCCGAACGGACTAGCAAGGGAAAAGCGCAGTGCGCGGGCACAGCGGTGATGGGCACACGTGCACAGCGGCTAGAGATAACAGGGAGTACTTTTTGATGATGTGTGGGCCACTCCACACATGGTCAATAACATGATCATCTACATGGCAGAGGGAAGTGGAGCACACCCGCGATCATGAACATGAATACTCTGGCATCACGACAAGGTAGTCTTGACACTTGGAGAAGGGCACCTCGGGGGGAGGTGGGGGGCCGCACTCCAAAATCAGGCAACCCTTAATGGGGGGGCAGGCAAAGATTGGAGAGTCAGCAAGGGGCGGTGCAGCCCATGAACTACTTGATTTTCACACCAGTTAAGGCCCGGGGTCGATTGTTGACCCACCTGAACACTCGAGAGAAAAGTTGTAAACGACAACTCTCGCGAGCTCCGAGGAGCTCGCTTTCGTGACCTTCCAAAGCTCTTAAGTTGAGAGAGCCCTCTGAATCTTCCCCAGCAGAAATCAGGACGCTTCCAAACAGCCCAGGCGCAGCAGGGTGTGCGGGCGCCCCGTTCGGCCGATGCCATCGAGCTCGGAATACCTCTTAAGTGGTCGTCTTTTCAGGGGGTCTCTGCTTCAGAGGAGCTGTACATTGAAGAGGAAGAGACAGAGAGAGAGAGAGAGAGAGAGAGAGAGAGAGAGAGAGAGAGAGTTTGAGAGGCTTCGGGGGCCCTTCTCCTCTCTGAAGAGTTCTCTGAGGCGGGGGCTCCAGGACTCTCGAGTACTCCTCTGGATCGCGGCCTTGGAGTGTTAGAAAAGACCAAGGAGGAAACAACTTTGCCGCCGAAGACGCCCCCCCTCAAAAAAGGAACAGCCGGCCCGAGGGGCCTCTTGAACGTCTTGGACCCTGAACCTTCTTTGTCGATACTCTGAGGCATCCCCGCACAGCAAAAGACAACAAACAAGAAGCGAATGAAAAAAGAGCTATGAACACAAACGCCAATAGGAAGAGAGATCTCTCTCTCTCTCTCTCGAACGGTGTTCTTTGGGGCCTCCTCCCTTCCGCCTCTCCCTCTGGCCTTGGCCTCCCTCTGGCCTTGGCCTTGGCCTCCCTCTTCTCACAAAGCGCCGGGCTCCGCTTGAGGTGCTGCTTCAGGGCGATGGGAAAGGCGATGAGGTGCCGCACGATGCAGGAGTAGATCTCCTTGCATAAGTCTTGACAGGCACCTTTTCCGAGATGTTTTTTCGAGCGGATGTGTTCCTAGTACACATCCGAACGCTCTCCGAACTCTCCATCCCCCAGCGCGCTCTGGGTGGGTGCCCCGGCCCAGTCGTCTCGGGACAGGTGGGCCGCGTACCTCTCACTCCCAAAGAGAGGAAGAGGAAGAGCAAGGAACGGAGGGAGAGAGAGAGAGTCTTCAGAAAAAAAGGGGGAGAAGCAGAGAAAGGAAGAAGAAGAAGAAGAGCAAGAAAGGGTAAGGAAGGACGAGGGCGGGGAGGTCTCTCTCGGCCTGGCCTGAGCATGGTCTGGAGGACGCGCTGCATCTCCGTCAGCTGCTTTGCGCAGCTCCAGTGCCGCTCGTAGGCCTCCAGCCCCGCAACAAAGAAACTCCCCGCAAGTTCTCCTTCAAAACCCTCTCTGTTCTGCAAGAGCGGGAAAGAAAGGGGGCTCTGTTTTGGGGGGAGTTGTTAGGACTCTTTGGCTCACCACCGAGGATTGCAGCAGAAAAAGAATCATGGGCGCCACGAACCCGAACGCTGCAGCATGCCCACCTCCCAGGCCTCTTAGGCCAGCACATATCAGCACATCGCCGCTATCCAACCCAGGCTTCCCAAGCGCGGCCGCGCTGTCCAGAACGCACCCGGAGGAGCCTACGACCCTTCCCCGTGCCGACCGCCAGAGCCTTGCTCTGCTTCCCAAGACTTTCACACACTTCCGGTCCTGCCTCCAGTGACACTTGCCACTCGGCATCCAATCGCGAGCGACATGCTACGCGAATCCCCAGCTCCCGAACTTTGAACCCTCTACCCCCAAAACCCTCCAAATCCCGGACACCCTATGCAAACCCTAAACTTTCAACCCCCTGCAGCCCCCCAAGCTCTGAACTCTGCTCAGCTTCGGATGGCATTCTCGAAGCGTTCGACGGCGGATTCTTGGAGGGAACAACCCCGCAAGAGCACCCCCCAATGCTTCCCCCCAGCCCTGAAGCACAAACGCCCTCAAAGCACCCACCCACCCTCCCCCCAACAAAACATGCAAACAAAAACGAGCAACTTCAAACACAACCATGTCGGAGAAGAGCTCCCCCGCCTGGTTGGTGCGGAAGGCCAAGATCAAACCCAAGACTCCTCCCCCCAAGGGCAGGTTCATACGGTTCATTTGGGGCTCCTCCTTTTTTTTGGGGTCTCTAGGGTTCTGGGGCGCTTGTTTGCCCCAGGTTTCAGAGAGTTGAACAGTTGGAAGGCCTCTCTGGGGCACTCTTAGGGGTTCTAACAGGCTTTGGTTCATGGGGGGATTTTGCTATTGATATCTATTGATGATGAACAAATTGCAGTTCAACATAGGTTGGGGGTCTCGGGTCTACAGGGGCGAAGAAATTTGGAGGGGGTCGGCGCACTTGCAGTGAGGGCCTGCAGGGGCCGTAGAGGCAGTTTTGTTTGAGGGGGGTGGACGTCTTGGTTTGTGGGCTCAGGGTTCGTCAGCACTTTGTTGGCCGAAATGAGTACCGGCTGAACTCGAATGCCCCAGCGCCCGCTCCGACCAAGAGCGGGTGGATGATCGAGGGGTTGTTCCTCGGTCGGCCGCCCTAAGCCCTGAACTCTAAGGCCCAACCCTAAGCACCACAAACCCGATTGAAAACTCGACAGAAGCTACGCTCACCGTGCATAAATTGTATAATGCAGGTGGCAGGTGATGCAGGGTATGAGCCCTCACACCACGTGTTCTGCCTCCAGAAGCTCAAAAGGCTGAGTTCGGCTGAGTCATGCGCATGCGCCATCCGGTCAGAAGATGCAGCGCCACGATGAGGGAGGACCAAATCCTCGAAGAGGAAGAGAGGGCTTGAACAATTGATGCGCAAATATGGTTTCAAAAGCGTCCAAAGCTTTCAAACTACAATCTGATTCGTCCCAAGAAAACCCTGAAAGCCAATGAGAGCCCTCTTCAGCTCGCAACGTCTGCACAAAACCTCCAGAAGACACCCCTTTTGACTTCTCTAGCGCCAGGAGCCCAGGGAACTAATCCTCAACACAAGGGGTGCCTGCTGTTCCGCTCCAAATGCATTTTTGGGGGGTCTCCCGGCACCGTTTCAATGCCACACCTGGCAGTTTGAAGTCCACCTGATGGGAGTTTCGCGGCAGATTCCCCAAAAGCAATAAAGCCCAGAAAAAGCAGAAACACTGGCGGCTGCCCCTTCTGAGCACCACGACCCATGGGCGATAAGGATGGGGATCACACCTCAGGGTGTTTCTGTGGGTCTTCGGATCTGAGTGTTTTTGCTGAGAGCTGATGCGGGTGGGAGCAGATTTGGATTCTGATGCTAGGGCAGGGCATCCCTTGGTTGCGCACGGATTTTGTCAAAAGGCGGCATACGTTTCTCATGCTGCTCATGAGCATCTAGGGGTTCTGAAGGTGTTGAGTTTACTCTGTCTGCAGGTGTTGAAGTTTCAAAATTCGTGGTGGACCACTCGCTAGAGGTCTGGAGCCCTAATCTCTTCGAAGCTTGCGGACCAAAGCTATTAAACCTGTAACCGTTAATGGGGGCTTAAGGAGTATCAGGTTTTGTTGCCTCAGGAAAGGTCTCTGCAAGTCTCCGGGTGCCCCTGGCGTATGGTGACCCGAAACTCGTCCGGCTCCGACTTTGGCTGGACGCGTCGCCACTGCTCCTGTCGCTTCACGAGAATTCATGCGAGGGGCTTTTGCGAGGTCGTGCCTCTAGTTCGACTTCTCCCGCTTGGGGGGATGGACGATCAAAGAACTCCCTCTTTTGTAGTCGCAGGGTGTTTGGCCGAACTCGCAGGGAACTCCATTCTTGAACATGAGCTCTTCCCTGATCACGCCTGCGACGCCTATGCGAAAGCAGACCCTGGCAGTGCCTGCAGGACCACTGCGGCCCCTTTGGCGCTATCTCTCACGGAGCCGCCTCCTTCAGGTGACGCGCATCACGAACATGAAACTAAGGCGGAGGTGTGCAGAGGTGCCTCTTGGAAAAAGCTGAGAGAAACCCCCAAGGTGTGTGATGGTGCGCGTGAGTGTTTTGCCTCTTTAAGGGCGGGGGAGGGGCTTGTCTCGCTATCTATCTCTCTCTCTATTTCTATCTCTTTCTTTCTTTCTTTCTTTCTTTCTTTCTTTCTTTCTTTCTTTCTTTCTTTCTTTCTTTCTCTCTCTCTCTCTCTCTCTCTCTCTTCCTTTCTTTCTTTCTTCCTTCCTTCCTTCCTTTCTTTCTTTCTTTCTCTCCCCCTCTCTCTCTCTCTCTCTCTCTCTCTCTCTCTCTCTCTCTCTCTCTTTTAAAGAATCAACTCCAAGGGCAGCTGAGCTGAGGGGCCCCCCCAATTCACTCGCAAGCCACCCCTTTTCCTTATTCTCCCCCTCTGAGCAGTGAGCAGCCACCGAAAGAGATGCAAAACAGTCCTCCTGTCTCCCCCCCAAAATGGGCCGCTGTTTCCGCAAAGGAATATTTCGCAAAGGTGTGCAAGGCGGCTGCCAAGAGCACCCGATAGGAGCACACACAGCACTTTCCGGAAGACCACACACTCCGCGCAGGACTGGGACTGCGGCGAGAGTGAGGATCACCGCCCTTGTTGATGAAAAGAATGCAGAAAACGTCCGAAGCGAGGCACGCAAAAAGAACCCATCCAAGGGCGCAAGGGGAGGGTGCCCGCTCGGCTCGCCCGACGGCGGAATGCCAGAGAGAGCGATCTGCTCAAAGAAAAGTGGTGCTTCTAAGAGGGGGAGACACCGCTGGGACCGCTGCAGGGGGTGAGCTTCTTTGGAACTTGCACGATGTCAGTACAGCAAACCCCAGACTTCCCCCCCCAACCCCCCCAGCGCCTGGTGCTCCGGAGCCCGGGCCACCGTTCAACGCGGGGGCGATGGCGCCCAGCCGCCGAGGCCTTCGGCCGAAGGTCTTAGGATGACTCGGGGGGGAGGCTCGGGATTCAGGGCTTAGGATGCTTTACGCAAGGTGCACTTGCGTGATCGGCATGAAGCTGTGGGCCCTGAACAGCTGCCCCAAGAGCCACCTCAAGTCTTGAAAACTCGCCCGGCAGACCTACTCCGTGCAGGCCAAGGTCTCAGCCTCACATATGATCAAGACCCATTCTACTGACCGGAACCCACATTTAGTTTCCAAGCACCATGTGAACAGCATCTCAACATCTTCTACCTTCTTCGACCCTTTCATAAAACAGAAGCTGCGCAAAACAAAGTTTAGGGTGTGTAAGTAGAATTGTAGCATCTATATCTGCAGAAAAGGCGCTCCTTTTGGGTTGTAAGATTGTAGAAACCCACAAACCCAACTCTGCGCGGGGGTCCTCAGCTTGGCCTTGCCGGAGGCGCCCGCGCTGACCTCAGAGCGCCCCCGGGACATCTTGGAGGAATCGAAGCCCGTAAAAACCTTGCAGAGAGCCCTCTACCCCCTGAGCAGACCCTTAGTAAGCTCTATATCCAAACCCTGAACCCATAAATTAGACTGGGGGGGCCCTAGAGTCGACTTCCTTCCACGTGCCCCTGCCTTGTGCATTTCGCTTCTCGCTCGCTGCGGAGGCAACGCCGCCGCCTCGGCAGAACCCCGCCCCCAGGTATCGACTCGCAAGATTTTGCCAAAAGAGGCCAAGACATGCAAACACCGGAGACCCCGAGTACACCCTTAGGGAGGGGGTGCTCGGCGTGGACACTCTGACGGGAGACATGTATTTTGTATATGTATCTCTTTGAGTATCCTCCCACTCCTCTCATGTGCTCTATGTATATATATATATATATATCATTCTATCCGATATTCTTACATAGAATATGGTTACAACCATTGCACTCCATTCTGATAAGTGCCGGCGGCCCAAGGCCATCGCAGAGGACGGCAGCGTCAAACGAGCCTCTCCGAAGAGTCGAAAACAACAAAAAGCTTTACAGAGACAGAGACAGAAGGGTTTTTGGTTTCGGTGCGCGGCCACGCGCCCACGCCCACACAGACACAGACACAGAGACACAGAGACACAGAGACACAGAGACACAGAGACACAGAAGACACAGAGGACACAGAGGACACAGAGGACACAGAGGACACAGAGGACACAGAGGACACAGAGACACAGAGGACACAGAGACACAGAGACACAGAGGACACCGAGACACAGAGACACAGAGACACAGAGACACGGAGACACAGAGACACGGAGACACGGAGACACAGAGACACACAGACAGACCCACCCGCCCGCCCACCCTCGCGCGCGCGCGCACACGTACGAGTACAAATACCAGAGCAAAGCATAAGGACATAAGGACTCGATAGAGCGGGGCGCTCACTTAAGCAGAGGGCGAAGCGTCGCACCGCGCACCTCGGGGCCATGGCTCCGGGGCTCCGTGAAGCCGCGGCCCGAGGGCAAGGCCAAACCTCGAAGGCAAAACGCCCTCTGAGTTGATTTCTCTCTCTCCCTCTCCCTTTCTCTTTCTTTCTTCTCTCTTTCTTCTCTCTTTCTTCTCTCTCTTTGTTTCCTCCTCTGAATGCCCCTTCTCGTCTTCTCTCTCCCTCTCTTTTCTCCCTCTTCTTATGCTTGGAGCTCTCCGGCTTCATAAGGACAAAAAGCTGAACTCTTGGTGAAGGACCCCGCCGACACGGTCGAACAACACCAGTCTTGTGAGTGCCAGAAGTCTACAACAGCCAGGATTCCTCGATTATTTGATTTTTTGTGGTTTGATTATGGCTTCTTTATGCTTCCCCCATGACCCATTTTCATGATATGTTTACGAACCCTATGGCTCATGAGCCAGTGAATCTTGGACCTATGATGTGATTCAGTCATCAACTTGCACGCCGTAAGTGCAAAAAACCTACTTCGAAAGAACAAGAACACTGAAAGCAATGGCCGTAGCCTGCCACTACTCCTTCGAAACCATGCTGACTCCTGACTCTAGTGACTTCAGTGACTGATGCATCTGGTGGGTGGGTTGGGTTTTATTGAAAGCTGTGACTTGAATGATTTGTAGCAGTGTAGCAGGTGTTGCGGGAACCGACGGCAATCCCTAGTAGTGACAATGGTGGCAATGCAGCAACTTGGAAGCGTGGAGAAATCCACCAGGCCCAACATGCAATGATGATTGCTACGAAAAGAATTGAACACAAAAGGTCAATGCGCTTGAATAGATTGGCTTAAGGGGGGTTTCAGGGGTGGGCAAAGGGGAAGGGCAGGGGGAGGGGGAGGTTGGAATGCTGGAAACCATTAAACAATCATTACAAATCGTAAGTTTTACGTAAAACCTATGGATATTTTATGATTGTTTTGTGATTTTCGTGATTTTTTTGCGAGTGTGGCTGGAAATCATCAAACCCATTTAAAAAGTCGTAAAACATACGAAAAACTTGTGATCTTTTTATGGTCTGAGCCTCCCACCCCCTCTGAGACCCTCCCCACCCTTTTCTTTTCTGGACCTCGTACGCTTTATTTATACCTTATTTTATATTTTTTGGTGGTTTTTTATCATGGTCTTTACGGTGCCACAACCGCCTCTCCTTGGACCTCTTTGTCCTTCTCAGCCCCCATCTCCCAGACCAAGGGCCAAAGCCAAAGCCCACTGCTCTGGTTTGAGAAGCAAACAAATCAACTGATCAACCTTGAACACTCTGCTCGATGATGCTCCTGACGCTGACCTGACGCTGACGACGCTGCATGGGAAGATGCTCATGAAGGCCCGCAGGCTCTAGACTCTAGAAATTTCGGGAGACCTAAAAAAGTTAAGCTGCTGACTACACTCAGAATCGACTTGATTCGACTCTGACTATGACTATGAATCCACGATTCTCTGGTGCTGTACAAGTCCACTGACGATTGCTTGGCCCGGGTTACCACATTCAGAACGAGACAAGACTGACTAGACTACTGCCACACTACCAGACGCTACTACCCAATAGCTCTGGCTTGCTATTGCATATGAACTAATTACAGTTGAAGGACCAGCTGGTTTCCAGCTGCTATTGAATGCCACTGGCAAAAAAAACGACGGTTGTGAGCTTGAGCAGGGTTTGCCAAGCCACAAACAAGCTTTTCAAACAGCTTCAAAAAGCCAACTTTGGAAGAGCTTTTCAAAAAGGCATAAAACGATCACAAAATTGGAAATTCTAGGATTCATAAAGAAATCGAAAAATGTTATAAAATACATCCGGCGAGATGGGTCGGCTCTTGTACACCTGACTCTCACAACACTAGTCACAAAAT